GCCGAGCGTCGTGGCCGTTTGCGCGCCAATGGAGACAAGGCGGGCCAGTCATCGTATGCCTGAGTGGGGGTGTATTCATCTTGGGAGTCCTCCATGGGCAGCAGAGTGTGAGGAATGTCGTATATTAGACCGTTATGTCGCGCTCTGGTGCTTTGGAACGTGTCGTGTCGTGTCGCGTCGCGTCGCGTCATGCCGCGTTTTGCATCTCAGCAGGCATGGTTTCGTACGGGACTCCATGGACAATGGGTAGATATGCAAATCGACGTGAGAAGGACGTTCGAGGCCCAACGTTGCTCCAACGTCAGAGCATGGTCGTGGCGACGTGTCCCATGCATAACTCGGAGGCTGTGTCATAACATTGATCTTTTGTCCGGCATGCATGCCGACGGTTGTCTCTCACAACCTCATAGCTACGTAGGCTCACTTAGACGTTGTAAAAACAACTGACCCCTCCGGTGGTGTAGCGTTCTCCTCCTCTTGTTCGTTCTGTATCCGGTAATTCTCATATAATACATTTTCTTACATAATATTTCACTTCTGCCCTAGTAATTAGAGGAGCGCGAACGCTAAGGACGGGTGGTTTAGGAGCCTGCATTTTGCTGTGTTCTGTGCTTTATCTACTGCTATCCACATAGAGCGACTATATCGAACTTGAACGCATTCAATCCACAGTGGCAGCTCGAGCCACTATGCGTGGACCGCACGTCCTTGTATTTGTCGTTTCAGCCTACTTTCCCATTTACCCTCACCATTAACCCTCTTACGCGTTGATGTCCTAGGATTGCATTCTCATTTTACATATTGTGTACTCTGGTCGTACGGTCATAATTTGAACGACCGCGTGCACCCTTAGGTACTGCTAACCAGAACCTGCTACCGCCTGGTGAATGAACTCCGGATGTGTTCCACGTCATCGCGATTTTTTAACAATACCCATGGGTATTGCGCTGAGACGCTCCCTCCCCAAAGAGCGCAGGATAGGCAGCACGATCTACTCGATCCATAGGATACATTTGCCTAAATACATGTGAGTCAGGATAATACGCCTAAGAAGCTGCGGATCCCATTAAGCAGCTAACATTGCACTCCTAGTGTCGCAAACAGAAAGTGAGGACAAAATTCAGTGTCGAGGCTACATTCCGCTTCAAATATGGCTCTGCCATCGGCATACTCAGTCTCACCTGCCTCTCACATACGTTCGCAATACCCTTCTGGCCGAGATGTCCCCCTAGTGCGAGAAGTACGAGACATCTGCCCGCGGATCTTTCAAACACACTCTGCAACAGGGTCAGTTATTCGAGATGATACATTCGTGACCCCCAACAACGCTACGTCTGTGATAGGCTCCATCATGTTGCCCTCACGTAACTAACATAACCGTCCTCGCGCAGCTCGCAAGCATTGAAAAAGATCCAAATACGTGTTGACTCACCGCATCCCTCCAAGTACCAGGGCAGAGTCGCTGTCTGGCAGAGTCCATCCGAGTTCCTTCGCCGAATACCGAGCACGTCATCAGCGAGACAACGAGGCACCCTGGACCAATATTCAATTGCTGTTTCCCGTCTTCGTGGTATGTTGTGCGCTGGACACGTCGCATATGCCTTTCCTCGATTGCCACCATCCTAGGTCCGGCGCAAATCATTGGCAATCAGTAGAGCCGGCCCTTGGTTCGGTACCTGTCTGAAGCGTTGTCTTGTGTGCTCTTGGTATTGTATTTTCGATCGTCAATGTAAGACACCGTGGCCTCTTCGCCTCTACTACCGGCCAGGGCTGCGATGCCATTCAGTTATTTGAAACCTCGCTTAACACTGTTGATAGCGATCTATAAGCGCTGTTGGAAGGAACGAAAAGAATGTCAATGATATTCATATTAATCCTCAATACATTGGCTCAAGAGGTGAGTAGAGCTGACACAATCTGGATCATTCTTCCAGTCATACTTCCGTCAAATAGAGGTGTATACATGGGACCCAGGAGCCTTCATAGAACAACCTGGCCCGTTCCCTTTTCGAAGTATACAGCAGCAGTGTCTGTAAGCCTGTACTGCACTGCTCGATGTCCGGGTATTGTCTTCACCCTCGTCGCGGCGTTCGAGGGCCCTGATTGCAAGGAAATCTGATTAGTTCAACGTTAATGCCTGTGAGGTCGCGATGACGGAAAGGCTCATACTTCTCCGCTGACCGCACCCGATCGCCCGGTGGATAACGGCCGAACATCTATATGGTAGGTGCAGAGCTGGAGCAAGAGGCGGTATAGGTCGTCTGGGGCATCTGCAGTTGTTATGTGATGCCTGATTACCAGGGGGGAATTGTACTATGAAAAGACGTCCAGATGCATCAGACAAATTTTCTTGCGAGGAGCCTGCGCATCACCTTTCGTGCCAGTGCCACAAGCGCCCGACAAAATTGGGAGAGATCGTCGGTTGGATATCCGATCCATTCTAAGCTCGAGATATCATCCAGTATTACTAGAGAGGGTCCAGTTACGTCGTGCCGCTGCTGCTGCAGAAGCGACCGTAACTCTCGAATCGAGGAGCGCAAGGACTCTTGAGGAGATGTACTCGATCTAAGGTCCGGGACTAGATCAAGAAATCGTAGAGACTGGGACTGGACAAGGGTCTCAATGTTCACGTTCTGCGAGTCGGATGAAGGTATAAGTACTGTTAATGGAGAGCAGACCCGGATACAGACCGCTCGCGATGCAATAGCCTTCCAACGGGAATAACTCTCTGATACGGATAGAACGTATCCTATGGCATTCTTATTATCTTTGAAGTGGGAAGCTAACATTCGATGAAGCTGGAAGTCCGCTGGTGATAGTATTTGGTCTGTCACCAATATGAAGTCCCCCGGAGCCGGAAAATCGGGAGGCGGAAACATCGAGCGGATTTTGTGGCTGAGATAGGATTATTCCTCTGGATTTCGCACAATGCTAGTAACAATAATGATGTGTCTATGAGATGGGAGAGTCGACTGATGTTAATGAAGCTGTTGTCAGTTTTGGTCATGAAACGCTTCAGAGTAGGATTGCTGACATAATCGCCATCTTCGGATCGTCAACGCGTCAACAGTCAACCTCACTGATCCCGTCGTTCAACACTTTTGGCGTGGTTGGTCTTAGGTCTACATACGAGACATTCAATTGTGAGGACTTTGTCTCTAGTATAAGAATCCGAAGGGGGTCACAGTCGTGGGGTAAGAGCAGCAATTCACCGAAGCCGGCTCACTGCTAACTCTTGATTCAATTATCAGTCTAAGTGGTCCTGAACAGGCACCATACAACTTCAAGCCGACAAGATACTACGCCTGCACCTGTATCTCTCTTGGCGACATCAGAACTACTTATATTAATTGGCTCGCGAGCGTAGCGGCAGGATCTGTATCTTATCTCGAAGTTCGCGTTACGGCAGTTTGTCGGCTAGATATGCCGGGCGCTCATCGCGCTAAGCGTTTCGTTCGCTCTGGTCATCTCCAGCGCAAATCATGGCCACGACGACCTATACAGCCTTTTCTCAGCTTGCGTCGAGTGCACCATCTCTGGTACAGCCTTCTCCACGGTGGGCCGTTACGTCGCGATTGAAGTATCTGAGCTGCTGTGGTAGCGCCACCCGCCGACACTATGAGAAGCGAGCCTAGATAAGGACGAAATTGGCCCAGGCTGTATATTCTGAAGAAGATTACGCCTAGGACAGTCTTTTGATATTGGACTCCAATGATAAGGTGTTGTTTATATACGACGAAGATCACCCCGGCCCTGGCTGGCGACTTTCCCTCTAACTCCCCTCCGCAATGGCTCAGAACTCTAGCTCGAACGTAGTACCCGCGCTACCGCAGGGAGCGGGATACGGGATCTGTATCGGGTTCGGAGTGCTGTTCGGCGTTACGATGTACGCTACCACCAGGATCCTGGCGAAGTTCATGAACGAGGTGCAGGGTTCGGAGATGTTTATGACCGCGAAACGGAGCATCAATACCGGGCTGATTGCGAGTGCCGTGGTCTCTTCGTGGACTGTGGCAGCAACCCTTTTGACGTCGACAACTTGGTGAGAGGTGTGGAATGTCTCTGTTGTAACGAACCTGACCGAGGCATTGTAGGACATATTCTTATGGCGCCTCCGGCGCTTACTACTGTGAGTCCACCACAACTTATTATATGAGAAGCTTAGCTTACCAGGCGTCGCACTACGATATAGACGGTATGTTTCTGTCGAATAGCTCAAGATTTCGGTTCACATTCCAGTGGAACAGGTGCTGGTGCATGTGTACAGATATTATTATTCTCGGTCGCTGCAATAGAGCTCAAGCGGAAAGCGCCTGGCGCTCATACATTCTTGGAAGGTGCTCCATCTACCTAGTCCTTATCACGGGCCAGGGAATTGATCCACTCTCTAATACAGCTACACAAGTCCGCTATGGTGTCGCCGGACATTGGATTCAAATATTCTACTCGACATTATACCAGATATTCAACTGCGTCAATCTACTCGTAGGAGGTACGTTCAGCTCCTGTGTCACCATCCTTGCTTCTCACCACCAACCTTGGTAGGATCCGCTGTCTTTACCGCGTTGACCGGCATGGACGTCATTGCTGGATGTTTTCTCCTACCGCTGGGAGTCGTAATTTATACATTAACAGGCGGAAGTGAGTAGCTCTCCAGGTCCCGGATATATGACACTGATCCGTTGGCACAGTTAAGGCCACCTTCCTAGCGTAAGTCATCCATATGATGGCGTGGCCGCGATTCAGTGACTTACTCGCGGAAAATAGTGACTACACTCACACTATAATCATATATTTCATAGTCCTGGCTGCATTGTTTACCGCCTATTCGCGGTCCGATCTTATCGGCTCTCCCGATAAAATGTACGATCTGCTACGACAAGCCGCGCAGTCGGCGCCTGTGGCGGGCAACGCTCAGGGGGAGTACCTCACCATGCAGTCCTTGGACGGTATTATGCTGGGCATAGTCATATTCGCTACAGGTGGGCGATCATGTTTGTCAGGGTTTCTGCCCCGCTTATGGCTAATCATCACCTTGCTCAGGCTGGGCCGCCGCTGTCGACGTCCAACTCTTCCAGAAGGCAATCGCAGCTGATCCTGCGAAGACGATGGGTGGCTATCTCCTCGGTGGACTCTGCTGGTTTGCGATCCCATTCTGTCTTGCAACGACATTCGGTCTAGTCGCTCGGGCGCTCCAATCCTCTCCTTCGTTCCCCACCTATCCCAATCCCATGTCCACCGCTGAAATTAATGCGGGTCTCGCGCTTCCATACGCTGCCCAGGCGCTTATGGGGAAAGGCGGAGCTGTTGCGGTGCTGCTCATGGTGTTCATGGCTGTCACTTCGGCGTTCTCGAGCGACCTGGTATGCGTGGCGAGTGTTATGACATACGACGTGTACAGAGGGTATATCAACCCGAAGGCCACGGGCGGGATGCTGTTGAAACTCAGTCACTTTGTCGTGATCGGATTTACGATCATATGCTCGTGCATCGCTACTGGACTCAGTCAGACTGCGGTCGGAGTGAACTTCATAGTGGTGAGTTCCTCCTCGACGGCTTTGTGGTTTTCGGCGTCCTCATGTCCGTAAAGACGTCCATAGGCATCATCTGCGCACCTGCGGTGTTCCCGATTGCTTGCACTATCTTGTGGAGGAAGCAGAATACTGTCGCGGTTGTCGGCGCGCCCATACTTGGAACAGCAACTGGGATTGCATGCTGGCTGGGGTCGACGTACCATTGGTACGGGGAGGTACGTTCTCTATCCGCACTGGTTCCTCGCGCGCATTCACTCACGTTCATGCTGATGTAGTTGAGCGTCGATAACCTCGGATCAACCCGCCCCCTGCTCGTTGGCAACGTGGTCGCTCTGCTGTGCCCGATCTTATACTCCCCTGCCCTTACCTACGCGTTTGGACCTCAAAATTTTGACTGGTCCCAATTCAAGGAGAAGATCCACGTCGTAGATGATAGCGACGTGCAGGGTATGACCAAGGAACAACTGGCGCAGCAGCGAGAGGAAGACGTATTATCGCCTGAAAACAACGCGCGGATGAAGCACGCAAGGCGGGTCGCCACTTGGATGTCCATCGTCAGTATCCCTTGATAACGTTCCCCGGAGCTGCTAACCCTCTTCCAGGCCGTCGCTCTATGCTTCATCATTGTCTTCCCTATGCCGATGTACGGGACGCGTTACGTCTTCTCGCGGAGGTTCTTCCGCTTCTGGGTTGTCTGGACCTTCGCTTGGGCATGGGTTGCTTGCCTGATCATCTTGTTCCTGCCGATATGGCAGGGTAGGCGCTCCCTGGCCCTGCTTTCGAGGAAGCTTCTGCGAGTCAAGGCAGAGGATGATGGATCTCAACCTGAATCCGAAGTTGGTGTCGAAGAGGTAATCGTACCGGATTCGGCCTCTATAGAGAAGAAGGCATGATATTCGTACAACGGTGGTCAAGCTTGTGTTTGTACCATTACCTATCATGACCGGACGGATGGATGAATATAGAATGTATTCGTCCATAACGTGATACAAGATAGGCTTGAGCCCTCGAGATGTCATGTCACACCCAATCAACGGCGTCAAGTTCACGGTATGGGCTATTTTACGCTCCATTTTCCTGCTACTCATCTGCTAGAACCCTTCTGAGAGACCGCAGAAGTAATCACTGAGGTACACGCGGTCGTCACGAGGCTCTACAGAGCACTCCAAATGCTTCAAATGACTAAAGATCACTAACCGAGGGGTGTTCGGAAGGAGATAGTACGATCGTACGTAAAGCCAATGATGATTCAGAAGGTCGCGGATACCTATAAGTTTCCCAATCTCGTCCCGGGCATATTTTTCACACTCCATCGTCATGCTTCCCCAATCCATGAAAGCGGTGGTATACAAGGCGGTTCGTGCTCCCCAAGATCAGAAGCAAGACTGTTTAACCATGAAGATCTAAGGTAGCCCAAGAAATTCACAATTCAAAACCAACCTGTTCCCCGTCCCGGAAAGGGTCAGATATTGATTAAAGGTGAGTTTGAATGCTGCTTTATGTCGGTCTAACTCACCTGTATCAGTGACATGTACTGGTAAGGAGTACGGTCATACGAAGATTGTAACAGCCTACGCACGAATCCTTAGGAGTATGCGGCTCCGACCTTCATATCCACTCCGGAGACTTTCCTGTACCTTGTCCGGTATGAGTCGATGATGCTGTCAAACTTGGCTGCCTAACAAATGTTACCAACAGCTGATCCCCGGGCATGAAGCTACGGGAATCATTGAGACTTTAGGCGAGAACGTGACAGGCTTCAATGTGGGAGACCGCTGTGTGGCAGAGCCAGTGATACCTGTAGGTAGTCTCATTTTAGGACTGGATATGGATCTAACCTGCACCGACGCAAACAGTGTTCAAGTTGCTTCTTTTGTCGGCGAGGTAATATGGTCATGTGTGAGGCCTTCGATTGCCACGGCGTTACTGTTCCCGGAGGCTTTGCCGAATACATGGTAGTGTCCGTACAGATCGTTTGATCTCTGATCACTGGGTTAGTCTCAACGTCACGATCATCAGCGATGCAATTCGCGTCTTCAGGATTCATGACATAACTGATGAAGAAGCCGTCCTGGTCGAGCCGACGTCTTGCGCATTGCATGCAATGGACAGGCTGCGGCCCGGGGACAAGGTCGGTATTGACGCTCTCGTCATCGGGGCCGGTCCTTCTGGCCTGGTACTTGCGCAACTTCTCAAGCTCAATGGTGCGGCAAACGTAGTCATTGCTGCGCCTGCCGGGCCGAAGATGGAGATCGCAAAGCGCCTTGAAGCTGGAGATCAGTACATCGAGCTGGATAGAGACCATCCGGAGTTGGGGTGGAAAACCCTACAAACGACCTATAGTCGAGGGTTCAATGTGGTGGTAAGTTATACGAGATCTATCCTCCACGCTTCTGCGAAATATATATTGGCCTAGATCGAAGCTACTGGGTCGGAGGGTGTGGCGAACAGGGCCATGCAGTATGTGCGGCGCGGTGGTACTTTGCTACTTTACAGTATTTACGCTCCTGGAGCGCAAGTGCACTGGCCGCCGTCCAAGATTTTTGGTGACGAGATCGAAGTAAGGTTGAATCCCATCAGCTAGCTCGAGCCGTCATCTTTGGGATGTTTCTTATTCTAGGTCATCGGCTCTTATGCGCAATCACACTGCTTCCCGAGGGCGATAGAGTATATTGAAAGCGGGAAGATCAAGGTCCGAGGTCTTGTAAGTCCGAGGTCTTGTCCGTTGCAAGCCCATCTCACACGTCACTGTAGGTTACCGATGTTTACAAGTTGGATGAGTGGGACAAAGTAATTAAGAAGATGGGTGGTAGGGACTTCGTCAAAATTGCAGTCAAGCCTTGATAGCTTGGCACCGTCCAGCTCGTGTTTAGCTCGTGGGGTTACTGGAATCCAACGTTTGTAGGATGCCAGCATTGCCGAAGCACCTGAGGTAGTAATCATAGACACATGAATATACATGTAGCCTCCAGCGTTGCATTTCACAAAACAACTCTCGTCGGTTGCGATGTTAAGCTCTCTTTTGTGGTACGAGCGGCACCCGTGTGGCGTATTATCAAACCTATCATCAAGATTACCAGAGGATCTGAAACATGTGCATAGGTGACATTGGATCCGTAACATAGAGAGCAACCCGAGAAACCTCGTAGGCATAGCAATGGCCGCCATAGCATTCTAGTCCAGTCTGAAATAGCAGGATGAATAAAATCAATGAGACCGAGCGGTCGCCGGTCGGTGGTGCTCGCTTATGAACTTGCTTCACTGCTTCAAACGCCGACTAGCAGGATATTGAGGTGCTAAAACATCTGAATGCGGACGCTTCATTCCCGAGGAACGAGGAGGAGTTATTTGAGGGGCGTAAGGAGTGAATGAATTCAATGAGGCCTGAGTGCTCGCAGGAAGACCACGATGTCGGCCGGAGGGTTCGGAAGAGCGTGTAGTGGAGGTGGGCTTAGAAATGCCGCGATTGATCACGTCGTCTCTCGTGTCGACGTCGGAAGAGAACAGCAGAGGCCCAGGGTGTACCACGTTCTCGCCAGAGGCCGCGAACGCATCCCCATCGTATATCGGTACTGGAGGAAGTGTCACAGGTGACGAGAAAGGCGTCGGCGGCGGAGGTGGAGGTGGCTGGTGGGATGTCAGGTAACCTCTTTGTGTTGTTCCTGCCATGGGTGTATGGCCTGAATGATGCTCGGAGTGATCGTGACGAGTTGTCGAGCCGTCCATACTCTGGTGGCACCAAAGGTTTCGGCTGCTGGGAGGATGAAACTTGCCAGTGCAGAATAATCTGAGTATTTATATTGTGAGCTGCGTATGGTGCCACACAGAAGCATAACGTACTCGTGGCGTTGCTCAGCTTTTTGTATCTGCATGTGGCGTTCGCGGCGTGAGTCGGACGATATCGAGGCAATATGTCGCGGTCACGACTGCATTGAATGAGCGTAAGAGCGGAGGAGAATCTAGTCTGGCATTAGTCTCAGCCCTTCATATACATCGTCGATACTGAGGGACGACAATAGACGCTCTGGCTTACTGATGGATGAACCTGTCTTGGATCAGACTGAATCAGGAATGGCCCGCGACTCGCACAGTCATTGCTGTGCAGGTCAATACGTTGCAAGTGATTCTTGGCGTTGCCGAAGAAGCTTCCCCAATATGGCAGGACGATAATGAAAGCGTCCATCTGCTGAAGGATGATGATATCCAACGACTACGGTCGACAAGCGCCCGGGTGGCATTCCAGCTAAGAGTCACTTCTGGCTTTTGGCCCTCGGGTCATACGGACTAATTCATTCGTACAGGCCCTTCAAGATCGTCGCCCTGACAGTTCTAGTTATTGTGGGCGCCCTAGTCTCATGTTTCTCCGGACTCGAAGGGCATGATATTAAAATTCAAAAAGTACGTCGGACTCACATCAATGCAGAAATAAATCTCAATTCCGCCAGCGTCGCTGGCCTATCCAAGACGTACAGTCAGGGCGTAGCAGATGTCACACTGGCAGTAGTACAAGGTAAGACGTATTTCCAAGGCTCAGTTCGTCGGTGGCGTCGGCGAGTCGGTCGACCGGCGGTAGTTATTACACCATCCCTATTTGTCAGCAATGTGGCGCGTAGAGCATCTCTTTAATTTGGCATAAGAGCTTTCAGCTGTCCTCTTTCCGGCTCAGAAGAGCACTGAGCGAAAACAACCTGAATATGGTAGAAATATACTACAAAAAAAATGCTGCTGCTTAGAGAAAATATGCCCATTCCATTGAACCCTCGCTCTAGAAAACGGGTGGACACGAAGCTCGGCGATTCCCTACGTCTATTCACTTGAGATACGCACTGCAGCTCCTGATAAGCCTAAGAGGTACCGAGTACCCAGTCAAGCGGAACTTGCTCTAGTTGCTCTGGCGTCAAATCCGCCCAGAGGAACTCTCGCAAAGACATGGATCGGAAGTCAGGGATGGCAGGCGTCCCGCGGGCAGTGACTTCACGTCCATCTCCCAGGGGTAGCGCTGAGATCATGCTCCGTCCTATGAGAGATCGGTAAGTATATTATATCCGAAATATATAAGCACCACTATACCTTGGACTGACCGACTCTCTTGGCTCGCCCTGATATCACGTCTCTCTTGGACGACGGTTTCTTCAAGCTCTGCCTCCAGCTCAGATAGCGTAGTCAAGGGCGACCCAAAATCTGACGGCTCTGGCTGAAGAGCCAGGAAAGCAGAGAAATGCGAAATATTTATCCACTGATCGGCGTCATCGAGAGAAAAGATGGAGCGGTTCGAGAGAAACGGTGGGAATAACTGAAAAAAAAATCAACATCAAGTAGGAGAGAGGTTTGGTATGAACTCAACGAAGTTTCTATAGGCCTTGATCTCTTCGATTGTTGCCGACTCAATCGCTCGATCGCACGGCCCCCAGCCGTCTTTGGCGAGGAACAACTTCACGGGTTCACTCCTTACCCACTTGAACCTGTCAACCATGCGGGTGGAGAACGTCACGGTTGGATAAAGGATTCGAATCCTTGGAGGGAATAACTGTGAAGTGCTCGTTTTATAGGGTATGGTGGTAAGAAAGGATAACGCAGCACTCACGTATTCTTTGTAGGCTTCTAAGACCTCTGAAGAAAAGGAGGCGACGTCCCGTAATTCTGCCTGCGTTATCTGAAGCAACGAGGACATTATGCCAGTGATGCTGGACATCATGCATCCTGGCGTCTTTATATATGTCGAAACCAAGCGTCCTCGTGTGGCTCAGGCCCCGAATCCACATTCAAGCGTACAGCAGTGGCCACACTTGGTGAGACTGGAAGCGTTTACATGCAAAGACGGCTTGCACCGCGATCTTTTCCAAGCAGGCCACAAGGGCCACAATCATTGACACGCCGACTGTTTAGTCAGGAAACGTAGGGCCTGAGGAAATATCTGAGTGGCAATGCTGGAGTTAGTCCTCAAAAAACTCGTCAAAGCGCGAGCTGCTCGTCGGGTGGCACGGATGTGGCAAGGAAAGTTGAGTAGCCGCACTGATATGCTAGGAATCTACGGCTCCGGTTATCCATACGTACCCCGCTACGCCAAGGCTCAGGGCATCCTAAGGCTCTACGATGGAAGGAAGTCAACTCACGTAGGCAGCATTCTTGAGCAGTAGTGAGGGAAAGTCCTCTGGGGAAAGGGACCATCGACGTAACAAACCATTACTTGGGAATAAGGTATCGCGGCGCTGTCCCCGGGCAGATAATGCCTATGGTTCCACGCCCCTTACGTGAGCCAAGGTAGTATTAGCGCTTGATTCTAAGAAAATGGTAGAGAAAGCCTAACATGTCGCGCATAGAACGTACGAAGGGTGATCGGAAAGGCTCATTCCAGGTAAGGTCGATAGACGTGTCACTGACGAACATACAGTATGCGGTAACACGATGGCCTATATCTGCAGGGGTGGCAGTAGAAAGAAGAATATGAGTTGCACCTCCGGACAGAGTTTCCTTCATACATGTAGCTCTCGGCGGGCGTTATCACTAAATGCAATCCTCCCAACAAAGTTGAGGACGCACGGCCCGTAAAAGGAAGGTCGAGGCCATCGTGAAGTGACTGCACAGACGCCTGTGCGGCAAGTCCGCGCAGTGCCTATGTTGCGTTTCCAGTGGAAACTTTCCACGGTCTCTGGCCATTTGAATTCGAGTCTCGACACCAGAACGATGCATACATTATATGTAGAGTACGTAGGGAGGTATATGAAGTATTTTATGTGATATGTACTGAGAATTACAATCTTGTTGGGATGAAAAAGGGGGGTGCAGCAGGCGGCAGCTGTGACTCTTGACACACTGATATCAAAGTTTTTCTCCTGCACTAACTACAGGCTTGTCCGCAAGATATCAGGATGGTGTGGAGTGTATCATAAGTTATGATAAAATACATTGAAGCCCCAAGAGTAAGGAGTTTTATTCACAAGTGATGCATCCATCTTGACAATCTGTCGGAAAAAAGCAATCGTGCCCGAAACACACAGTTAAGGAATCGAACCCGCGGGCTCGAGCATCCAGCATTGCTACCCCTACAAGACAGTCACCATCTACACTACAAGAACTTTTCATAGAGAGATGTCTAATGTTATATATTGTTGCACACAGTGTCTACTGTTATCTATATACGGCCAAGCATAGCCTGAGCCAACCCCGCGCTGCGCTGCGGAGTGACGCTTCGCGCTGCGTGGGGCCCCGTTACGTAAAGCGCGTCCTCAGGTTTGTTGGGAGGATTGCATTTCGTGGCGTTATCATCCACGTCGAAATGTGCAGTTAAAACATAAGCCTTGTTGGGCAATGTGGTCGGAATTGGCCGGTGGCGTCATCCAACTAGCTTATGGGCTCATCGACTTCAATATAAGGACGGCTGCACGCTTTGGAACTTGACTTGATCTCCAACTCTTCGAGGTCTTTCATGATGGAATTCCTAACACTATTTCTCTGATCAAGGTCGGCTCTTGCGCTGCCCCTTCGACATGCGGAATCTCGCTGTGCTTACAGTGTTGCTCGTCCGCTTTGCGTGCTGACTTAGCCTGACGACCTTTCTGTACATGGTGTGCTGTAATTGAGACATAGGACGGCCATGGTTGGAACAGTATGTGGGAGGGACCGAGATACTGGATTGTTTGGCCGCCGAGGCCCGCGGGTGGATTGCACAGAGGTGAGTCACGTTTGCTTACAATCACTGTCCCAATCTCACTGCGTAACCAGTTTGTCCCACCAGACACCATATATATCCGTTTATAGTGCCCTCGATTATGCCGGCCGCCCAGGGTTCCCTCTTTGTACGTACATTGCGCAGCACCAGAAGAGCAGAATAAACCCTTCATTCCAATCGATTGCCCGTGGCTCCGTTTGGTGGGCAGTGTGTGCTACTTGTTAAGTCCCGTGTTCGTAGCCCGTCGCTGTATTCCGATATCGAAGGTCCGTCTGACCCCGGCCGACTCACATGTACCATTCCACGGCAGATAAACGTCCCTCCTTCCCATTTTATCGATACGACTGAATTATGCCAGCAAAATGCTGATCTGTCCTTCCCTCACTCTGCCACTCACCTTGTTCAGCTATGCCTAGCGAAAGTGCGATTCGACCGAATCAAGCTCCCATCGAGGTGATAGGACTAGGTCATGGACGAACAGGGGTGAGATATCCATCTCACGGTCAACATATATCTTGCTAAAGTAAGTGGAAGACGATGTCTTTGGGAGCAGCGCTCGAGATCCTCGGTTTTGCTCCTTGGTATCATATGATTACGATACTCAACGGAAAACGGGCTGGCGATTATGAGGTTTGGAACGCATTGGGCGAAGGTGCGTTGCTCGACGCAATAAGCGATGTTCACCGGCAGAACGACTTGTCATCCATAGGAACGGCGAAGCCTGAAGACCTTGACCGCATTCTCGCCGGGCAGAAGTCCGTCTTGGATTATCCTGCGTCTTTGTATCCCAAGGAGCTATACGAAGCATATCCGAATGCAAAGTTCGTTCTGGTAAGACCTGCGCTATATGCGGTATATCTGTTGTCGACATATGTTGTTGAAGACGGTACGAGACGTTGAGAAATGGATAGCCAGCATGAAGGTAAACTGGGTTCTCGCGCTCAGGAGTCTTCTACTCAGTGCACTGCCTGACCACACTTAGGCGACCCTGGTGGCCGTTAACGACTCCATAGAGGCCATGGACGCTTCGAAGGTGCCTCGGGAAATGGCTGCCACTCACTACTGGTGGAAGACGTATGGTCCTGTCGGAACCAGTCAGTGATCGTGACTCTATGCACAGCATTCGTCTCATCGTGTCCACTTATCATTAAGAACGGGGAAGTGCGGACTTGCATACCGCCTTCAACAGGCATAACGACTACGTCAAGGCTCTGATCCCGGCAGAGCAGCTGTTGGTATACGAGGTTGGCGAAGGCTGGGAACGGTTGTGCAAGTTCCTGAGCGTGTGCGTATCTCTCCCCTGGCTATTCGCTGTACTATCTCGACGAAACCTCATATGGTGTTCCATCCAAGGCCGGTGCCGGACGTGCCTTTCCCGCACGTCAACGATAAGGAGGAGTTTCAGCAGAAACTGGCAAGCAGGATTGAGCTGCACTGACGCTACTCGTGCTATGTGGAAGATGTAAGACAGGCACCACGTATTACGACGCTCTTTACACATGACGAATCCGAGCTGTGGGTGGGGGAGCAATGTTTCGCCAAGACACCACGTCTTATGATATGGAGACTATATAGGCGTTCGTACGGTTATGGTGTAACTGTCGGTACCTCACAATTGAAGGATTGTCAAACGAATGTGTAATTTTTGTCTCGCTCAGATACATGATCAATAATACAAGCAAAGGCTGAAGGAGCTGTGTAGGCTGGACACGACTATGATAAGCTGGTGGTTGTGTATGTGACGGGAGAGCGATAGAGGGTCTGGCGCTTTCGACATCATGCGATGTGGTGGTCGTGTCTGTGCCGATGCACGTTCTCGCTACGGCGTCCACTGACCACCCGACGTCGGAGGACTGTCCCCACCTTAGCTACATAAAGAGGCACCCGCCTATCTTCTGTGAGCGCAGTCCCGTATAACCGATGTTGGAGAAGGACATACCTTTTGCTGACCTTCCTGTACTTGCTAGAGCAGACACTGTGGCAAACTCCAGGAGCGTAACGTAACGTCTTGAGTGAGCCGTGTGATCTCTGAAGTACAATTCCCGCGGCACTTGGCGGGCTGAATGGATATGGCTTGAGTAGATTCGTCCTGGTCCTCTACCACAGACCGCCTGAATCGCCATGTTCCATTCTTCCGTAAGCTGTCGCGAGCTCGTCGGTGTTCGCGTACACAGGCAGGCTGTACACTGATCGCACCGCTCTCCCAGTCAAACATACTGAGAGGAGCGTCATGCGCTGGCGTAGCCGGAACTAATCCCGTACGCGCAAAATTTCCGGATAACCTCCCAAACTCTTGACGGAGTCTACCTCCGGGATCGTATGTGAGATTTGGTATCTGGATCAGTGGGGGTTAGCATGGAGTCGACAAGCGCGACTGTGATGACTAACCATCATGCTGTGAACTTGCATGCTCGGCTTTGTCGATGGCAGAGTCGAGAGTGCAGTGGGGGATGGGTTGAGATTGATGAACGGTCCCTTTGTTATACCGGCAGGCTACCTTGACCCTCGCAACACGGAGTGGCGCCTAGAGTTGACTTAGACAATAAACCACAATACCTTGCCGCGCGCTTTGGCCCTCGCGCGCAGGGGCCAAGGTTGCGAAGGCCATTGCCCCTGGTCGTAACGCCACCGGCTGTACAGCCATAGCTTGGATTGCTTAGACATGTGCGGTCCTTCACGGGGCGGTGGAGGGACGGGAACTGAGAGAGCAGTCAATATGTGTGGAAGTTCTCCTCTTGTTTCGGCGTTAAGGCGATGCCTACGATACAACCAAAAATGCATTTCTTTGCTTCTGTGTTCGCTTAGTTAGAGATCACCACCAGAAGCGAAAGCCGAGAAAGGGGCGATGACGTGGTCAATGACAATGCCAGCCGAGATCAATGTCCAGATGCCACGCTATGGCCTTCGAGCGGCGGCAACGACACACGAGGGAAATGGGCTGCCAGTTAGCCCTCCAGGAAAGAGGTAACGGCTCCAGAAGACCGCGCGTGGTCAATGCGTCAGGCCGACTCGCACGGACATAATGTCGCGCAGCAATGATGAGAAGTGGAAAATTTGTGCCTCAGCCTGGGGAAATGTGTGAGACGCTGTAACCTTACGGTTTAAAGGGCAACAAAGCGTACATACCCCCGCGCGGTAGACATCAACCCGTCCAAGACTGACGGGTCAATGAGTAAGCAAAGGCCTTTCCTGTCATGCGTCGCGTGTACCACAAGAGGCGCTACTTGCTGAGTTCCAGGACATGGGTGAATGCCAGCAACACCCCGCACAAGTATAAAGGGGCATGCTGAGGGATGAAGAGAATCAATACCGTCAAAACTTCTCATTCTGCTCGCTCCTCTCACCTGTGACCGAGCCCTTATATTCAGACACCAACCTAACCGAACGAATTCAACTCCGCAGAAAACATTCCTTGCAAGATGTAAGCCTCTGTCTGATTCACATGCGTCCTCCCACTCATCAGGACTCAGGATCCCTCTCCCGCACGCCCGGCCGTCTCTTTGGCTTCTTGGCACCAGCGATATGCCACATTTCCCTAGCACGGAACCGGGACTATGTACTCACCAGTTCCGCGTTGTGATACCGCTCTCTGGTGGTGCTTGAGCGTCTGGTTCTGTCCTGCACGTCCTTCCGTCGAGAGTCGTGGGTCCTATCCAAGTGGGTGCTGCGAGATCACACGTTCCACACGAAGAACCGAGAATTTCCTCATGGATGGCTATAACACGAGACTCTGAACTCCTCTCTACCCCGGAAGAACGCAGTGATAGGGCATTTCTCTCGTCTACCCCTCCCGATTAGCCAATCAATTGGGTGGATAGAGGATGAGAAGCGTGACACTGACGCACCTGGTGTGCGATGCTACAGGGAGATACCGGAGTACCTCACTGCGCTCCGAGTGAACAAGAGACTACCGCATTGCAAGGTCTGATGTGTATCTTTGCGATTGACTCGACCTCCAGAATTCACCAGCCATGCCGCGCTCTCCTCACTGAACGTCTCCCAGCAAGTGCTGGATGGCGTGCAGTGATAAGAGCGCTTCTTCCTGTCCGTGTAATTCGTTGTCGGAAGTGTGTCATTATCTCTGTGCCGCTCCGCTCTTTCCAGCTAGATACACGCCAGTACATCTAAGTAATTACTTATCGTAGAGAACTGAGAAATAATATACAGTACAACAGGCCCTTACTTTGATATTCGCGTTAGGTACTTGAAGTACGGCACTTCGTCGACGGGACGCCGAGACGAGCAATCGTGTCTATCTTGCTGTGCTGACGCGAGACGCCGCACGAACGGGTCGTTGCTGGAGTATGAATCATAGCGTCTTCTGAGGAAATAGCTAGCAATAACTTATGCGCGGAGAGTGCTGGTATTGGTATGGCAGAACAAGAAATAGAAACCGAATTCCAACTTGAAGTCCGTCATGATGTCATACTCCTAACCCCGTGCTTTCGTTGTATCGCTGGCAGACTGCAGTCTGTCTTTCTCGATATTGCTGACCTTGTCTTTCCGCCGAAAAGTCAGCGCATCAAACTTCAGCTCCCTCGCATCCATCCAGTGGATAGTGCTCAGAAGATTTTATGTGTGATAGAGACAACCGCGACAGATTCGGACCCGAATTGCTACAATGCTGCTAGTTGATCTAGAAACTTGGTAGCCGTGGAGGTATATCCTCCGAGCGAGTTCGGGATCTAAACAGATCGGAAATCTAGGAGCTGGGGGAAGGCATTGTCATGTATGACCATTGTTGGAGACTGATCGTAGTTATGTCGAGGGAAGATGCGACTCGGTCACTCGGAGGCAGACACGGTATCCATTGGTGAGTGTACACAATCATTACTGGTCGTCAGAACACCGTCGTCCCTCGTTGAGTTTTTATTCGCGTTATGATAGAACCACAGGTTTTTATGTGTGTCTGGTATGAAATTCAACTACTCTACGGCCGAGCTCTCGACGCTGCCATGCAAATGCTATCCTATCAAAATAATCCCTTCCTTTGGATCCACCTTCGTCCCTGCATCTCTTTGTTCTTCAATCTCTCACTCAACGTAGCACAGTGGCCCCTATTATTGCCCCATCGTGCTCGGACCTCCGCCAGTCATGAATGATAGCGTCAGTGTATGGCATACTACCAACCTGTGGTTATCCCGCTTTAACTCACTCCTCATCAAAACTAGACCGGTTATGACGGGGAGCCCACAGACGGAGTGCTGTAATCTGTCCCTGCTGGGCAATTGGAGTCGATAGCGTGCCGCTCCTATCTCGATCTACCGCACTCAGGATTGGGATGCAATGGAGAGACGCTTGAGGGTGGCCTCTCACGGGTCTTTTGTATTTCGAATTCATACCCGCAGATGCAAGACCGACCAAGTCGACGCTCCTGTAGCTCCTGTACTTATATTTCGGGAACACCGTGGCTGTATCACCACCTGATGCATCCGAAGACTCTCTTTTCTGCCTTTAACCGTTCCCACTACTGATTTTGCGTTTCTAGAGCTTCTCCGGAGGCAATACCATCACAGCTTGGCCACCGCTGGTGCCGGGCACTGGCACCAGCGATATGCCAGGCAGCCACGGTGTCGTCTCCCTTTCCATCACTCCCTACGCCTTGCAACTCACCTGGCGTGTAAAGGCACACCGGCATAGGCTCTTGCTCGCTCTGGTTTTATACCGTACTCTTTGTGAAACATTGCCACTTAAGGTGCATGGTCTCGCTTCATGATCATTGTTGAGCTTGGATGTGGCGCGCGTGGCCCAGTCGAGACTTTTAGGGCGTGGTCTCACGATTGTAACTCGCTCATGCCACACTGATGTTCCAGTGCCGCGGTATCAAGCGTCGTCCTTGACGAGCCGCCCTCTTGATGGAGACGCATCCAATCGGAAGCGCGAGACTTAGAAGACATACAGGTACGTGTCATAAATATCTGTGGGCTTTTCTGTGACGTACGTCCACAGGTCTCGGACTGACAAGCCAATATTGCGGCGCGAGTGGGCGCGACTTACGCCAAGTTTGGGAACGGCAGCGGCTTCTCAGTGGCATCAGTGCCTGCCTCTCACGCTTAGTAAACGCGTCCCTAGGTTCGTCCCACTGACTGTTAGATGTGGCTTCGCAGCACATACGGCGATCCTGAAGGCCACTCAGAAGAACAATGCCGGCACACATGGTACCAATGCCCTTCCCGATAAAGGTGCGGTTCTGAGTTGCGTATCCAAGAGACTTCGCAACGGTGTGCTTCTGAGTTTGGAGGGGATGTGGCAGGGAGGGGCTCTATGGCAGAGGACACAACGCTCGGCTGGCGGATATAAGGACGTCCGACGAACTGATGATGACCCACACCTCGCATCGTACCTCCCTCACCTTCAGCGCTCGATATCTCGAGACCTTCACACTTTACTTGCTGTCTGCGTAGCCCCATTGCTGCGATGTACGTCTCTTGAACCTCAATCGATGACGCAGCTAAACGCTCACCTTATACCAGGAATCCTTCTTCATTACCCTGGGAAGGTGACCCATGGCACTTCGGGTCACGTCCGCCATCTCTCTCATTGACAGGCACCAGCGATATGCCAATCTTGCCGGGGATCCTCATATCATCACTGTCGTACGGGAAGATTACAAACCTCCTACGGGAGGTTTGACTCGCATAGCCATCCTGACGGAATTGGATTATCGATGGTGAGAACTCCCTCGTCTTTGCGGTGCGCCAGTCTGACTCCATATTTGACTAGCTTGACCGCGCACAGTTTGCCGGGAACACTGCCAAGTGGACTCTGTCGGATACTCGCCCACAGAGCGAGTGGTCAAGCTGGTATGGCACCACTTAGCGACCGAGCGGATGGAGAAGGACGCTCCCCAAGGCGTTAGGAACCCCCAGCATACCTATGCCTTGCCGCCGCAGAACTCACAGATGACTGGAACGCTACAGTGAGCTCCATATCGACCAGGCGGATCGAATTCCGGTACACTCAGCCAGCTGCCCTGGTAATGCTCTTGCCCTAGGTGTCCGATCCCCTAGACTCCCTCCAACCCCTGCGGAGCCACCATACTCCGCTCACTGAACGTCTTCTAGCAGGTGCTCGGCGACGTTCAATGAAAGGAGTTTCGTTGTTCCCGGTGTCAACGGGTGTGCAATTTCCCACTGAGGACTATGTCCGAGCTCGAAAACCCCGAGCTCATGGGGAGCTCCGCCTTACCCACTTGTTCATATGATTTGTAACCTGTCTGCCGTAGGATCCTTGTTCCCAATACACTTATGTAGGACCTTTTACATTCCACTCCATGTCTTCTGCTTCCAAGTGTATAGACGTTGGCGAAGGATGGGAAGGGGTTTGCAAGTTCCTACGTTTCCTTTAATCTTTCACTCGATTCCACGGCTGGTGCCGGATGTACTCATACCGCACGTCAACGATAGGGACATGTTTCGCCAGAAACCCCCCAGGGGGCTGATGTAAGTGTAGTCCTATGGTTTAGTTGACATGTGTCCATTGCTGCGACACTAGTCAGGTAATGTTGGAGGTGTGAGATATGCAGGACGTATCACGACACGCGGTACTCGTGATGACGGACAGCAATTCTCGAATATATCACATTTACCGGAGAGTAGTAGTAAAGCGGTCGTATCACTATGTTGTGGTTATGACACCTCACACCAAGGGAATGATCAAACGAGTGTATGATTGATAGCTTCGCTCAGATACATGATCAGTAATACAAGCACAGCGTGAAGGAGCGGCACGGCGGGAATGAGCTGGTGGCTTTGGGTACGGCGGGAAGCGTTAGAGGGTCTGGTGTCTGGGACATTATCCGATATGGTGGTCGTGTCTGTGCCGGCGCATGATCTCGCTTCGGGGTCCATTAATCACCCAACGTCGGAGCACTGTCCCCACCGAAGCTACATAAGGAGGTACCAGGCGATCTCCTTTCAAAGGTTTCAATGAGCATGCAGTGCTGCCAGTGTAGAACCAACGTGGGAGGATGTACTTTTTCCTGACGTTCTGGTACTCTGCTAGAGTAGACGTTGTGGCACGCCCAGAGCGCGTGACGTGAGTAGTGGGTCTCGCAATCTCTGAGATGAATACCCCGCTGTACTTGCTGGTCGGAGTAAACATGGTATGAGCGCCATGTTCCACTCTTCTGTGAGCCGTCGGGGACTTCTTGTCCGCGTACCCAGGTAGGAGGGACGTTGACTGCGCCGCTCTCCCAGTCGAGTATGCTGAGAGGAGCGTCATGCGCTCGCGTAGCCGGAAGTGGTCCAGTACGCAAGTATTTCCGGGTAACCTCACAAACCGCCGGACGGAATATTCCCCCGGGGTCATCTGTCGAAGTAGGTATCTGAATGGTCGTGAGTATGGATTCTAGGCGTTCAGTGACAATGACTTACGATCATGTTGTGGAGTTGCATCCTCGGCTTTGTCGATTGCAGAGTCGAGCGTGTAGTGGGGGATAGGCTGGAAGCATGAGACGTCCCTCTTTATATACCCCCGAACTATCTTCGCCCTCGCAACACGGAGTTGCAACCATATGTCGCTCAGACATCAAACCACAATACCTTGCGGAGCGCTTTGCCCCTCGCGCGCATGGGCCACGGTTGCGAAGGCCGTTACGTCTGTCGAAAAGCAACTGCCTGTACGACTTCGCTTGGCCATGCGCCGTCCGCAATCAGCCTCAGAAGCCCGCAATGACTTTCGGGCGGTGGCACAAGAGCGCCACGGGCTGCCAAATAGCCCTAGAGAAACAAGAACGCGTTTCATGAACCAGCGCGCGAGGTCAATGCGTCGGATCGGTGCGTAGACACACAGACATAATGGAAAAGTGGAAACTTGGTACCTAGACCTGCAGAAGGTCGTGAATATCTGAAACCGCGGAATTCAACAGGTACCAAGGCGACCGTACTCCAGCCCGGTAGACTTGGACCTGAGGTCACGGAACAGCACATCAATCCGTCCAAAGCTAGCGGGTCAATGAACGAGGAAAGGCCCGTCCTGTCAGGAATCGGACGTGGAAAAAGAGACACCACTTGCAGAGTTCTGGTCGGGGCTCTGTCTCAACGCCAGCAACACTGGACCTGGGTATAAGTAGGCATGTTAAGGAATAACGAGCACGAACGCCGTACAGACTCCTCATATCTTGTCGAACCTCTCACCTGCAACTAAGTCTAACCGAGAAGTGACAGCAGCACTTCCTGACACGATGTAAGCCTACATCTGGTTCACGTCCGTCCTTGGACGTATCTGCTCTCATGATCGTTGCCCCAGCCACGCCGCGGTCTCTCTGCCTTATGGGCACCAGCGATATGCCAGTTTCCGTCGTTCATTCGATAAGCATTTGTCAGTCGAAGATTGCAGCTGTCCTAGAGGGCACTTTGCACGCGTTGGCTTTCCGTTCTGCTTTATCGCCGCAGTCGCGACGGGTAGCCTAGCGGGACGTTAGATGCTCGAGGCGGATACGGCGCCGTTGTACTCACCCTACCCAACGCGTCCAAGGCTCCAAGCGAACCAATGAAACCGCATACTCACCAGCGCCGGGTGCGGACACGCCCCTCTGGTATAGCTTGATCAACTCCTGTCTTCCGGTTGATCGGTGTCAGCATTCGTGAACTATGGGAACTAAGACGATAACGCGCCCCTTGGACAGATGGGCTCGGAGCAACAACGTCGGGATTGCTGAAGTCTACCCAGAACTTCGTCCGAACTCAATCACACACATTTCGATGCAGCGCTCTCCTCACTGAACGTCTCCTAGCAGGGGCTAGGCGGCGCCCAGTGAGAAGTGCGCTGCTGCGAGGAGGTAGATGCTTTCCTCAAGTTCGATGGAGGGAGTGCAGCGTTGTCGGCGCTCCGTTGCATGGTTTTCGCCTACCAGGTCCGTTCCAAAATATTATAAGTATATGATATGCATGAATTATAAAGCACGGCAGGTGCTTACTTTGACGTCCACGTCAGTATAGCACTTCGGGAGACGATAAAGACAACCCATTTACGTCCTGCGGTGGGATCGCATTCACAAATCATGGCTGGTATTGGGAGATAATAACATCATGACGGAGTTTTGCGATACAAATTGCTGGCGGCAGTGTGTAGTGCTGGTTCAGTGCGTGAAACAAATGAGGTAAGGCTGAGACTCAGCTGAAAACAAGTCCGTTATGACGTCATAGTCCTAACCTCGTCGCGCTGGCAGTCTGTCTTGAGTCTTGACCTCGTCTTTCGCCAGCAAGTTACTATCAGCAGCACTCAGCATCCGACCCTCAGGGTTCATCTTATGTTCTGGGCTCAGCGGATTACCAGCGGTGGTGCCGCAAATCCGAGTGTGCCCGAGGCAGATTCGATTACTAGTTTTCACAATGGTCCGAACAGATTCAGGTTTGCAGAAACTTCGCAGCCGTGAAGGAGAGGTATATCCTTAAGCTTAAGGAAAGCCTAGGATGAGAAAGGATTAAAAATGCAGGGGCCTGAGGAAGGCATTGTTATGCGCAGCGGAAGAAGAGACTCGGAGGCAGAGACAGGACCCATCGGTGAGCATACACAAAATTATTACTGGTCGTCAGAACGTCGTCATACTTGTCGAACGTTTGCCCAGTTTATGATAGCGTTATCAGAAAGTTGACGTGGGCGTCTGGGACGTCCTTCCACTGCTCTACAGTCGAACTGTCATGGGCATGACGCTTCTAGAAAGATGCTACACTATCGAGATAATGCCTTCCCTTAATCCATTTGCTTCCTTTTGATTCTCCTCAGTGCCTTAATTCCGATAGTCTTCACCCTCTCGTTAACCCCAACCCAGTGGGCCCATCTTTGAAGACCGTCCCGCCTGTGCTACAATCGTGCCTCGGACATCCGTCACCTACGAGTGACAGCGTCAGTGAGGCTACTTACCGACTCTTTCTCCTTCTGTTCCAACACTTTCACCCGGAAATCGAGACGCCCCTCGATGGAGGTTCCTGAAGACGTGGTATTGTATCACGTCCTGGACTGCAGGGTAGTTGGAGTTGGTACGTGCCGCTCCTATGTCTATCGAGTGCGCCTAGGTCTGGTATGCGGAGGAATGATGGTGAATGGTGGTCTTGTATGGGTCAGCAGTATTTCGAAGTCATATCCGCAAACGTAAGAAGACTGGTGTGTGTTCCGTTCAAAACAGCGACGACATCGATGCTCCTATATTTATAATTTGCGAGCGCCATATCTTGTGCCGTTACTTCATATTCCAACGCCCCCTCCTCTATATTCCTAATCGTTTCACCAGTCCATCCCCCACCTTGCGTTATTGAAGGCTACTTCGGAGCCAACCACGTCATAGCTTGGCCACCGCTGATGCCGAGCACTGGCACCAGCGATATGCCAGGCAATGAGGGTGTCGTCTCCCTTTCCATCCGTCCCGACCGCTTGCAACTCACCTGGTCCGTAACTGCACAGCGCCATACGCTCTTGTTTGTTCGCCATCTTATATTGTGCCGCTTCTGAAACATCGCCAATCAGCATTGTTTCGCGTATTCGCAGAGCTTGGACCTGGTGAGCTTTGCCCGATCGAGACGTTTAGGGGTGGTCTCACAATTTCACGTCGCTAATGCCACGCAGGTGTTCCAGTGGCGCGGCATTGAGCGTTGTATCTGGCCAGCCGCTCCCTTGCTGGAGAGACACACAAGACGACCGGGTACGTATTCTAAATATGTGTGAAGCCCGTGATGACGTACGCTCATAGGTTTTGGGACTGGCAAAGCAAACATGACGCGCGATTGAGCATGGCTTCCGCAAGATCTAGTTGCGGACTGGCTTCTCGGTGGCATCAGTGTCTGCCACGTACGCTTAGCGAGCGCGTTGCCTACGTCATCCCAATGCAACGGTGCTTTGCGTCAAATGTGGCTAAGAAGCACGCATATCGCCTGAAGTACACCCGGAAGAACAATGCGTGCACACATGGTAGTCCCTTAACCACAAAGGTGCCGGTTCGAGTTGCATTTCCTGGAGACCTAACAACGGTGGCCTTCTGAATTTGGAGGAAAGGTGGCACGTTGGCGCTCTGTGGCAGAGGTCACAGCACTCGGTTGGCGTATATAAGGCGGTCGGATGAACTCCTGCTGAGCCAGAACTCGCATCGTACCTCCCTCCCCTCTGCCTCTTTCGCACTTCAAACGAGAGTCCCACCTTCAGCGCTCGATGTCTAGAGGCCTTCAACTTTACTTCCCTATGCGTAGCGGCATCGTCGCGAGGTGAGTTTCGCAAGCTCCTCTAGAACGTGTGGCACATTACTCACCCTACACCAGGAATATCTGGTCATTATCCTGGGAGGGAGACCCATGGCACTTACGGTCACGTCCGCCATCTCTCTCATTGACGGGCACCAGCGATATGCCAATCTTGCCGGGGATCCTCAAATCCTCGCTGGTCTACGGGAAGATTACAAACCTCCTACGGAAGGTTTGACCCGTATAGTCATCCTGACGGAGGTCGTCCATCGACGGTGAGAACTCCCTCTTCTTTTCAGTGCGGCTGTCTGACTCCGTATTTGACTAGGTTGACGGCGCGTGCTGCGAGGTCCTCGTCCAAACCAACTCGGTTCGAGACCCGCCTCCAGATGGAGCGGTCGAGCTGGCATGGCACCAGAGAGCGATCGAGCGGATAGGGAAGGACGCACCCCAAGGTGTTAAGAGCGTCCGGCATACCTGTGTCTTGCCGTCGCACAACTCACAGAAGACTGGAACACCAAAGTGAGCTCCAGATCGACCGGCGGATCGAATTCCGCTATACTGAGCAAGCCGCCCCTGGAATGCTACACTCCCATTCCCCCTGTGGAGGCATCGCACTCCGCTCACTGAACGTCTTATAGCAGATGCTCGGGGACGTTCAGTGATAGGAGTGTGATGTTGTCAGCATAGCTTTGGTAAGTAAGGCTCTCTGAGGAGATCTTTGAGGTAGGCAGATGTATAGCTATTGAAATGAAGGGGGGGAATCACAATATGGCTTACGGAATGCACATTTCATGAGCGAGAGGAGAAGCCTTCCATTTTATGACACTTTTCCATTGTAATAAGAACTGGGCGGTATTACGACGTTCCTATGGAATACCAATTGATCAGTGTAAGGTAGTGGTCAATGCAGCGACTATGAGAGACTTTGTTGAAACGGTACATCGGCTCCTAGGTTTCACCGCATATCTGACACGGAGAACCATAGATGAGTTCTAACATATCCCCTCCAGGGAGACACTGTTGTGAATGGCCGTGCACACCCACCGACGATCGGGCAAGATAATAGCGTGCATGCTCATGACGGGGGGGATGAACCTTGTGCCTGCGCCGTAGATTACGTTCCCACCTCCAGAAGACGCGTCCTCCATCCGGTCGCAACTATGAAACCCGGCAAAGTACGGACAAAAGATTACTTCATTGCACTGAAACATAAAATCACTTCTACTCTATTCACAATGGAACGAGGACAGATAGAACGTCACAGGACTGCAAGTTAACTCTAGCCCGTGGACCGTTTATTAATTTTGACGAGTAACGGTTCCCCGAATATTGTGGACCTCACGCCTGATATGGCCTGGATCCAGCGTTCAGAATCAAACTTATCACTGAAGGCGATGTCGAAGGTCAAGAACAAGTACGCGGAGGCCATTCGAAGTTCGCGTATAGCCAGATTTCTTCCCATGCAACTGAAGGGACCTGTCATTGGGGTAAGACTCGACCATACTACGGCATAATGAATTCAATTTGACGCACCGAATGAGAAGCACATCAAAGCTGATCTGTCGGCTTTACCTTCGACGAGGTGCTCAGTGTTCAGCCAGCGTTCAGGACGGAACGAGAGCGGATCGGGGCCGAAATGCTCTGGCGAGACCTGGATTGCATACGCCGGGACGCTGACTACTGTACCTCCTGGTATATATTTTCCTTCTAAGATCATCCCTCGTGGAGGCACGACGCGGGGAAGTCCCGGAAAGGGAGTGCCCAAGCGCAGGGATTCCTTTACAACGGCGTTGAGGTATGGGAGACTTGCGAGCACGCTGGAATTAAGAGCTTGAGACGGGTCACGCATGAAGGCCGAGTCGATTTCAGCGCGCAGCGTCTTCAGAGCGGTGGGACTACTGATCATATAGTATAGCAGGAACGTGAGCACCGATGCCGTAGAGTCCGATCCTGGAGTTATGTGAGTCACAGTGCCCGCGTAGTGTATCTGCCCCTTACCGGCTTGAACAGCGAATACTGAGTCTTCCACCAGCTCCTCGTCTGACATGGTCGCGGATTTCTCCTCAGAGTCTATTTCTCCCAACTAAAGAAATTTATTGACAGGCTTGCACCCACGGATTTCGACATACCAGATGTGCGGATAAGTCGTTGTGCGGACCATTTGTATCCATCTTTCGGGTCCGCATCAGAGTATCCGAGAAACGCTTCAGAGCATGGATGTCCTTCGTGATAGGCAAGTGATACAAGATGTTAAACAACCACGGCACTTCTCCGAGACTGGCACAGCTGTGAGCGGCTTGCCCGAAGACCCTCAGCTACTCACTCACATCTCAAATGTCATAGTGGCAAAGTGACCGCATTGAACATACGAGTGCGGGTCGCCGTCAGACATAAGCTCCTATTGCAAAGAATTATAAGAGTGTTAAATATGACAAATAGTGAGCCCACGCACTATTCGGTTCGATCCACCGAACACAATGTCGCCCTGAGCGTGTGTGAGAACGAGGGGCGGAACGTAGGAGAACTGCATACCATCAAATCGTATGTGAAATGTTGGAAGCACGGAACAAGGTTCACATTATACTCCGAATCTGACCTATCCTCTAGACAGGACACCAGTTGTTTGACTCTGCGCTTGATAAAGGGCTCATATCCATTTAAACTACACTAAGCATCAATCTATAAAGTCGGTTCACGATCTCAAGTACGCACGCAGAAGGCGTGAACGCGCCGGCCCATCTGGACCTTCTCAGGTTGTGTTCATCTCTGTCGGGGATGAAAAACATGCCTGACGCCTTCGTTCGACCGAGGAGATAGGCGTCGCTCTTATTCATGCAGTCTGCGGCCGTATAAATGGAATTTACAGCATTCAATGACCGGATAGACACTGTGTTGGGGCCTGATAGAACGTTGAGGTAAGCGAAGCGATTTAAGATGATCTAAATCGGAATACAAACCTGTCCGTACGAATACTCCGTATATGTTATGGAGACGCTCGATGGCCAGGTGGCGCTTCCCGGTGTACACAAGTTGGGCGGATTTCAATCCAGAGAGTTTGTGCAGTACCGGTCCGGGAAAGGATGCCAAAGGATGCCAAGGGGAGAGCCGATAAAAGGCCGTAGCAAGTAGAGCTGTTCCTAGCTGTACGCCCACGAATTCCAGACCCCGCAGACCGTCGTTCAGCATGAACCAGCACATGCCGTATTCCATGCATAGCAAGATGAGGGCGACGTCTCCAGGAACTTTACGGATATGACATGTATAAGACAAGCCCTTGGTATTACAGTCAGCAATCCGTGAATACTCAGAACTAAATCACGCACCAAGCCTGAAATGAATGCATCCTGCACGAGGTGGAGGACCATTTGGAATGGGTCGTGGTTGAGTTTCTGAAGAGTAGTAGTCTAGTAAGTTCTGGGATGACTTTTCACTCGTCGGGAGACCTCCGAGTAAATAGTACTTGCAGAGGCTAAGGCAGACGTAGTAATGGCACATCACTGGTAGTCAGCGATCATGATTCCACATCTGCTATCACACGAGCTGCGATAGAGAGCATTAAGAGCACACATTTGGGCAGAACGCACGGCAGTTCATGATCATGATGGTACAGGCATGCAGCGTGAGAACTTGAGGCGAAGGATGGAAGGGATCGGTACTCACGGTCGCGATCTTTCAAGAAGGACTACTCTGTCCCTTGCTTCGAGTTTCATCTGCGATAGTGGCGCTGATCGTGGTGGTTGAGTTGAATTGGCTTCCTATCAAGCTTCCCAAGGCTGTCAGAGTACCCCTTTTCCTGATGTGTGAGGCTCAGATGGCATCGTGCCCTCTCTCATGGATGGAAGTTAGGACACCTTTTCATTAACACCGCCAGGCCATAGAGCTTCTGATGAACCGGCGAGATATCTTTTGCTTTTGTGCCACGGATGATGGAACTGCGCTGAACGACGCAAATAACCTTTGGTGCTGTGCGTCTATAGGACAAGGGTAATCAACCGCATTCTAGGGGTGGAGCGCAGCCTGAAGAGGTCACCTTTCTCTAGACCCCGCTTATCTCCAAGAGACAGGGTGTAAGGGACTAGGCGACTTAGGCGACCCTTCCCCTCTCCTCTGCCCACAATGGACCAAGCAACCTCTGACCACACGCCTCCGACCTCGTCGAAGGCCATATTTCTCTTGATTGTTTTCAGTCTTGCCCAGTTTCTTGATGTTTTCAACAGCTCAGCATTCTTCTCTGCCATCCCCTCCATCTCTGAGCGACTTCAGCTATCTTCCGGCACCTCCGCATGGCTCATCACCGCCTACCAAATCACTTTCGCTCCGTTCTTACTATTGAGTGGACGGCTCAGCGACGTATTCGACCCCAGTAACCGCAATATTTCTCTAGCCGTTGCTTGTGCTGACCCCAGGACCCATGACAGAGAACGTCTTTCTCGCCGGAGTCTTCGTATTCGGAGCAGTGTCGCTGGGAAGTGGCTTTGTCACAAATAAGATTGTTTTCTTAGTATTTCGAGCCATCGTAGGAATAGGTGAATATCGTTTTGTCTTAGACGATCCTAATTGACTTTGTGACAGCTGCCTCCTTGACGATTCCATCGGCACTGAGACTCGTCGTCTTACTGTTTCCTGATCCTAGTTCCCAGGCCAGAGCAATCGCAGGTTTCAGTTGCAGCGTGGCAGTGGGTAATCGTGAATATTCAAGTCGCCGTTTTCGCCTCCACCGACAGCACTGATTGATTGAACCAGTTCTCGGTCTCGTCCTTGGCGCAGTCTTCGTGCAACTGGCGTCTTATCGGTGGATATTTTATTTTGAAGCTATGATTTCCCTCCCAATAGCCCTCCTATGTATGTTCCTTGTTCCGAGTGGTCTTGACATGGGAGTTGGTCACATTCGCCAGTCAAAGAGGAATTTGGATTGGGTAGGGATTGCTCTTTTGACGAGCGAGTGTCGTCTTCCCTCTCTTGGAAGTTGGCACACTAAAGGATGCTCATCCTAGCCGCTCTGCTGCTGTTCGTTCTTGGGCTAACCTCAGCTTCCTCGTCTGGATGGCGTTCGGTGATAGTAATACTCCCCCTCTGTCTCGTTCCCGTCATTGCCGTCGTGTTTGTCCTATGGGAACGTAGAATTCCATCCCAAAATGCCGCTATGTGGGTTAATTGTTGTCTTCTTTTTGCGCTCCTCACATCTTTCTCCCGCAGTCCCTCTAGTGTATGGTCACATCCAAATGTGCCGATATTATGCGGCGTCTCACTTATGCCTATGCTTTGGTGGACGGTTGTATTCTATGTCTTTGGGACGCTCTGGCAAGAGGTCTACTTCTGGAGTGCTTTGCGCTCGGCTGTTCACCTGTGAGTCTTGTTTCAACTGTATCAGCAGGTTCTGTTGACTCGCAAACATGCAGTCTACCAATTGGTATTGGGGGTGTTCTGGTGATGATGTCGGCCGACCGGTTCAGCCACTATTTACATCCTAAATGGGTGATATCTATCGGCTACCTATTCCTGCTCATCGCAACAGCCCTCCTTGCCTTCGCGGATCGGGCTGAACGATACTGGAGCTTCGCGTTTCCGGCCTTCTGTGTCGGAACAGCAGGTGCCGGTACTATCCTCATCCAAACCAAGTGCGTTGCGAATAACTATTGGTCTGGAGCTTACCCTCTGATTATCGACTCGTATAGCATCGCTATCCTACGTTGTACGCCCCCTGCTGTGTCGGGCACCGTGGGTGCGATCTGGAACACAGCGCTGCAGCTCGGATCCGCCGTAGGGATATCTGCAGTCACAGCACTGCAGTCCAATATAGATGAAGCGCATCAAGGCCCCCTGGGGTTCCGAGGGAGGGCGGATGGATTCTGGCTATTGTTTGCTCTCGCAGGCGTTGCGACCCTCGTGTTACTGCTATTCTACCGCACCGATGAACAAACTGAAGATCGAATTTCTATCATGCCTAGCGTAGAGGAAGCAGAAACGAAGGAAATACCGTAGCTGCTGGTTTCATGTCGTACTCACTGGTTCATACCATATATATGCTGCAGACTGGTATCATACATGTTCCGGTTCACACCGAGGATCGTCAGATACCACTAGCCGAGGCACTGACAGTCCACCTATTTGAGTTATGTTTCCGCCGTAAGGCGTACGGCCCTCTTCCCAACCAAGTAGATCAGGTGGATTTGAATTACAAGTTGTATACCCTCAATGGACCTTGAGTACATGTCGTAATCGGCTTGTCTCGGAGCAAAGGCAACATCGGGATGCATGAGTACGCAAAGAATATCCGTGGGGAATGCATTGATTACAGGAAAGTACGTAGTCGGACAAGTAAACAGGAACAGTATCTAATATGCTAGAGAGGCCTCTAACAGATCTACATGACTTTTGGAGCGAGCAGTCACGCGGCAGGTAAAAGACGGTGGGTGGCTGGTTTCGTGGCATAAATAAACCTCCAATCGTCGTGGACACGATGACGCACCTGATGGTACCCGTCTTGTACGTAACTTCTCTGGAGATCCGAGTTCCATGCTCATCTACAGCGTCGCTCATCTCGCACGTAGCAAGTGCAGTAGCGATCGCAATGAACACCGAGCTCTCCGCGAAAGTCATGCCCGGGCACACCCTATAAAGCATCAATAAATATGACCATAAGACAGAGATGCAGGAGAGCATACCTCCGTCCGAAACCGAAGGCAACCGAGCTGCGCTTCACTGCGACTTCGTCGCCCAAGAATCGGTCAGGATTGAATTCATGAGGATTCGGGAATATAACAGGGTCGTGAAGCATAACCCTATAGATAGTTCAGGCGCATAGCACAACATAATGAGGATTGAGATACCAAATATTCGGCATGACTATAGTACCCGACGGTATGAACCTATCCCTGTACACATCATCCTGGGTCGACAGATGAGGAACACCTGACATGCATGTGAGCGGCAAGTCGGTAAATAAGGAAAATGCTGAACCTAGAGGTGCGACAGGGTTCCACCTGAGCACTTCGCGCATGATCGCCTCGACGTATGGCAGATCCCGCTGATCAGTAAGCTGGGGGAGCCGTTGCGTTCCGATCACCCTGTCGATCTCAGCTCTCCCTTTCGCTTGGACTTCGGGATATAGCGCCATGGCCAGGTAGAAAGACGTGATGGCAGAGACGGTCTGCGTTGGACTCGTCAGGTTACATTGCTCCACGTTTAGCTTTAGTCTTACCGTATCAGCGCCGCCTGGAGCGTAAGTGCGATCAGTGTACATCGTGGATGAGAGAAGCTAGTTCATACCTCCGAAGAGGGAAGCAGATGACCACAGTAGGATCTCATTATCCTCCGCTGTGAGGGAACCAGCTTTGTCGACTAAGACGGTAGACACAAAATTCGGTTTGATAACTTCTGGGGTGTCCTGAACAGAGGTCAGCATTTGCGGGGACAAGTGTACCGCAAATGAACCTGGCGCGGAAGAGCCCAGTTATAAGGGCCTTCTATGACCTGCATGTGGAGGTCAGATAATTCCCGAGCGACTTGCTTGAAACGAGTGCCGGGAACCCAGTCGGGCAGATGGCGCACTGGATACAGATCATAAGGTAGTGCGCACGCAAGTGACGACCTGACGCACGCCATGTAATGAAATCGACCAGCCAGTTTCCCGGTTTCGATGCAACGGAAAAAGCTCCCATAACCTTCTCAGCCAGGACCAGGAAGGGGTCGTTCTCTGGCTCGGTTTGATAGCCGTAGGTAACCTTGAGAATCACTGACCCGGCGTAACTGCTCAACTGGTGAGATTGAGACGGCTAGCTCCTCAGCCCACTTACTGTCGGACGAGCTTCGCGATGTCCGTAGGACGCTGCACGACCCTGAGGACAAGGTGTCGGCTGTCATGCTCGTGAAGAGGCCAATACTTTTGCAACGCCGCTCCGGTGAGCTCCTTCTGCATCATGCGCCGCAGCTGGCGAAACCGCTCGGTGTACGGCATTAAGGCCATTGCTCGGGCAAAACCGACTCTAGGTAGGATCATACATGAGCCATGCCCCTTAAGCACTGGAATGAAACATACAGTTCGCCAGCCATGACCTGTTTTACACGTCAGGCGCTATGAATGGAAACGAAGAAAGAAGCCGTACTAGTCTCGGTCGACTGGAATATGCAGCCGACCGCTTCTCCAGCAAGTCCGATGCTGCCTCGAAGCTATTGAGTACCACGATAGACTGCCCCAGAATCGTGAGGTGTATACAATCGCCTGATTACGTTCCAGCGCGGATGTGAATATCCGAAGGGAATATACGGACCATAGGTCATAGCCCATTCTGCGAACACTAACCACTCCCTCTCGGTAGGCATTTGGAGCAAATTACCGAGTACAGGGAGCGGCTTCGGACCAGGAAGATAGGGCAGGCGCCTCCGCCCGGAGAGTCGCATGAGAGCATACGCAAGCACTGCGACTGCCAATGCAAGTGCCACGGGGCTGGTCATGGTGGTATGAGCGTGTCTGAGTTGCTGGACTGGGTGGGTATTGTCTGCCTTGGCTGAATAGAGCCAGAGGCTTCAGACTCGGGCACGAGACCCACTGCCCGCGGTGGACGCTATTCCTAGACATCAGATTGATACCTGCATGAATGGCACGTACAGGAAACGTCGATGCTGCGATCGCCTGGTTCGAACGAAGACAACAACAGCTCGGTTCGAGTCGTTCCGAGTTCGAGCTGGCAGCGAGACTGGCGATAGCCGGTTAATTGCGGGTGCACCTCGGACTTCCCACGATTGCGCTTCCGAGCTCGGAGATCTCAGATCGCCGCGAGTCGAGGCTGCGCAGCGTTGGCGCAGCGCCTTTCCCAGCCCAGCCCATCATTGCACACAACATGCATACCGCCTGTAGTTCCTTCGTCCTCCTTCCAAGTGTCCGCAGGCTGCCGTCCCCCTTAACTTTACTCTCGCCCGGTGCTCGGTCTCAGTCATGGGCCTTCTACTCTCTGTCATCGACCAGAATTTCCCTCCCAAGGCGAAGTGGGGGGTAGACAACATACCCGACCTGTCCTCGAAAGTCATCATAGTAACAGGTACCTTTCCGTCTTCCGACGATCTAATCGAACCCGTCCTCACTACGTTACCAGGTGGTAACTCCGGTCTCGGTTACGAAACGGCAAAGGTGAGGAGACATGCTACTTCGGCCTTGCTCACTGCCTGACTCTCCGACGCAGGCCTTGCTTAGTCACAATGCAAAGGTGTACTTGGCTTGCAGAGACCAACAGAAAGCAGACGACGCCATTCGCCGTTTAAAGGAAGAAACTGGCAGGAAGGCGCTTTACCTTTCTCTTGACTTGTCCGACCTCGAGTCCGTGAAACGCGCCGCAATGCAGTTCCAGGAGTATGTCCTGTGCTATCCCTACGTCTTGTCACTCACGTCGAGCAGACAGGAGCAAGCGCTTCATATTCTTTTCAACAATGCGTGAGTTATCCCGGACGCCGCGGACCATATGGCATCTCATCCCGCCACAGCGGTGTCATGTCTCCACCCATCTCAGCCCTGACGAAGCAGGGCTATGATTTGCAGTTCGGTACCAACGTACTCGGTAAGTACGACACGTGGCGACCAAATGCATACTGAGCCTGTGGCCAGGCCATTTTTATTTCACCAAGTTGCTGCTCCCTTGTCTCAAGACCGCCGCCCAGTCATCTCCCGACCACGTTGCTCGGGTCATCAATACGTCCTCGCAGACGCATGTGATAGGTTCTCTCAATTTCAACGCATTCACCGACACGCCCACGCGCCGGAAGATGTCCCAAAATGCCCTGTATGCTCAGAGCAAATTTGTAAGACACTTTGTCCTGTATTCGAGCCGTACTTTAGCTATGTGCGACGTCTTCCTCAGGGAAATGTTGTATTCTCTAACGAGCTCGCGAAGCGGTATGGACTAGAGGGTATCATGTCTGTCGCTCTCCATCCAGGTACGCCACAGTCCCAGCGTCAATGTTTCTGACTCGAGCGATCTCCGCAGGCTCGCTGACCACCGATCTCGGACGCCACCTTCCTCCCTTGATGCGCGCCATTATCGTGCGTGCCTTTTGTATACTTGCATCTGCTGTACGCTGACACGTTCCCAGCACTCGCTGTGTCACACTCCGCCTGAGGGTGCGCTCACCCAGCTGTGGGGCGGCACTGCCCCCGAGGCCGCGACTCTGAATGGCAAGGTACGTGGACCGGAACTGATGATAACCGGAGTGTTTATTAATTACTGCTGTACCTCAGTATCTCATCCCTTGGGCAAGAATCGGCCTTCCCGACAAGAAGACCTCCGACGAAGCGCAGGGCGCTAAACTCTGGGAGTGGTGTGAGGAGCAAGTGAAAGACATATGAAGATTCATTTTTGGGCTTCTGTGCGATTTATTTCGTCGATCACTAGCGGATTTTGGGGGTTTGACTGGTTAGGTAGAAAATCGCGCATTGGCTGATGATGGCTCGTCTTTGTGGACTCGGGACATAGTGATCGTTCACTACGTTTCATTATTGTTGATTATTGTCAATACTGGTTACTTTGGGTAGGACTTATATGGCAAATTACGATTCGCTGAGTGACAAGTTAGACTGGGCAAGCCAGTAGAGGTTAAGTCACGTGCAGCGGCACCGCAGCCAAGTCTAAGACAATGTCTTTCGGCGATTCCTCCTTGCCGCTGCCTCGCGAGTTTATCAAACTGGAGTACGGGACGCTGATTGTCGTGTCTTATCTCAAGCTGGCTTACAGTATCGCCTAACTCGGAATGTCAAACCCACATAACACTTCGTCTCCCATTTTCAGACTTGGCCTTTCGCATGGATGTCAACATACCTTCTAGACGGACGATGTGGGCCGACAACGGACTCGGATCCGACGAAAACTCGCCTGTAAGACTCGATGTTTCTCCCTGACCAGGCCATGATCTCGGCGGTCTAACAGTGGGACAGTCTGAATGCCATTTGGAGCCGTGTTACAGATTCTTTTGCTACTCTATAGGGGTTCTGTGGCAATTAAACTACGAAATATCAGCCGTAAATGGTGAGATGCCTGCTCAGTACGTCTGTGATTACACTTTCGATAGAAGCGTGATTGCATCAGCGCCAGCTTGCCCTGACAAAAGCAGGCTGTCAGCTACGATATTAATAGGTTATCTTCCTGCTGTGTTCGAATGACAAGCGTCTCAGTGACAATCAGAGGCTCGGTTGTTGTTCTGCAATCGGCCGGCTTGTAAACCTGTACGTGCCCCCATCGCAGGTCATCATGTTCCGACGATATCAAGCCCCCCATGTTTCGTCCCCACCGTTCTCATCCCGACAGCCAAAATATCAACGGCCAACTGCGAGTTCTGTTAGGTCGGTGATATGTTTAGACTGGCCCGATGAAGGAACAATCACGCTTTTGCATTCATCATGGATAGGTGGCTTGATTGCATGTTTCCATGATCGGTGAATCACTGATCCAAAGGCCCATATCATCTTTTTAAGCCATGCTCTCGTTTCTCTTGTGATCGACATATATCGCGGTTTTAAAGTGGGTAAACCAGCAAGCTCAGGGTCGTTTCTGATGAAGAAACAACACACAGGTAACTATACATCACAATCAGCGACTTGAGCCCTGAACGCCTCATCCTTGGTCTATGAATTCTGTAATCGAATCGCTGCGAGGCATAGCATACCGGCGATCGTGATTCTGCGGTGCAAATTCCACGACCTTGCGCCAGAATGAAACGTATCTCAGTCTAAGTCTCTTCCCGAACAATCAGCCTTACTGGCCGAGACCGTCGAGGCTGGATACCATCCTGTTCCTGGACTGTGAATTCCAGTCGGATGGGATTCCTTCGCCCATCATCTTGTTTCCTGATACGGGTCAATCTGGTCTTTCCTGCAACTCCCTCACTGGCTACGAGAGTTAGGCTCAAAATTCCTCCCGTCCAGTCTTCAGACTCGAAAGGATCCCACCATAGTGCCATAATCGACCCCTCCCCCTTAGACTTCTCTATTCCTCCCACAATGAGCGCTCTGTCGTTCGGATTACTCACCGGGATTGTGAGCTTCTCGCATATCTTTTGTTCTACGCGCTCAACGAGTCTGCAGGCCGGTTACGCTGTGCTCCACAATTTTCGTGTCAGAGGCGACGTGATCCTGTTCTTTGAGCTGAGCCTGTTTGCGACCCTCAGCTTCATTGGCAAGGGATCCGATGAACTCATCCGTGACGGGCTGCTCTTTGCCTTCCGCACCATCTGCATCCATAGCGCTGTTATGCTTGCCTGCACCGCTGTGTACCGCCTGTCACCGTGGCACCCTGTTGCGCACGTTCCGGGCCCTATTTATTATAAACTCGGGGACATATGCTATACATTTGTGGTGGCGTCCGGATGGCGACATGAAGTCGTCCGCGGCTTGCACAAAAGATATGGGGACTTTGTCCGCATAGGTTCTTGTTCCTTCCTTTTCATTCTGTTGAGTATTTACGCCCATGTTAGGTCCAAATACGGTGTCGATCAACAACCGTGCTGCCATCGGCCCTATCTACGGGAGCACGCAGTGCATGGATCGTAGCGCTGCATATAACCTTGCTTCTTTCCCTGGGGATGGCCTCTTCTTCATGCTGAGCCGTGATCGACACAATACGAGGCGCAACAGATGGGCTCCAGCGTTCACCTCTATGAAGTACTACTTTTTTCATCTCAATGGTCCTCTGCGTTCCTGACTCTTTCTCAGTCTTCAGTGCTTTCATGAGGTCCTAAATCGGCGTACGCGGGAACTCGCTCAGTGTCTCATTGCCAGGCGAGATCCGGCCGGCATCGTGGATTTGTCTACGGCAATTGAGCATTGGTCATATGACTTCATGGTGCGCTATCCATCCTCGCGGCGTACAATTTTTATAACCTATCGGGGGCAGGGAGATTTTGCGTTCGGACATAGTACCCAATTGGTATGTTTTGCTCGGAGGACTAGACACTTTTAAGGATTACCGTATCGTTTCATAGGAGCTGATGCGAAACGGCGATCCGGATCGTCTCGTGGAGGCAGGGAAGCAGTCTACAGCCCTATTCGACATGTCAGCTCATCCGTTCTCTCCGGCTGACCGGAAACGTACTCATGTTCGGTGTAGACTAGGGACTCTGCCTTGGCTGTACGAAATTCTGAGTAGGTTCGGAACACCTTCTTCATTGTTACGACTTTACAAGGCCGCGTCACACATGCTCGACCTCCGGCAATTGAGGGGAAGCGAATTGCAAGACGACACTACCGATGTGTCATCTTGTCTTGTAGGTTTTCTGTCCGTATCAATCTTCATTCGCTGACCATCCGGGGCAAGCTCAAATTCGATATCAAGGATGGAGGCAACCTCTCGCGAGACGAGCAGCTATTGGACGCAATTTTTGCTATACAAGCTGGTAAATGGCGGAATCAAGGGTGTTCTTCGAGTACTGATGACGGTTTAAAGGATCTGACACCAGTGCAAATGTGCTTCAGTACACTTTCTTCTTCATTGCCGCTCACCAGCAATGCTTGAAGAAGCTGCAGGCGGAGTTGGACGATACCTTCCCTAACAAGGATGACATACTAGATCTGGACCGACTCGCTTCCTTACCCTATCTTAATGCCGTGATCAATGAGTGTTTGCGGTTGGGAACACCACTCTCTGGGCTTCCTCGCGTTACTCCCGCCAGTGGAATTACTGTTAATAATATACACATCCCTGCCGGAACTGTTGTATCCGTTCCAAACTACACTCAGCAACTTGACCCCCGGAATTTTGCGCCCCTCACCGAGGACTTTGTTCCAGAGAGATGGGTCGGAGAAGGGCTCGGTCCCGGGTCTACTCTGGAGCCTGGTTGCATTCTTTCATTTTCATTCGGTAAGTGAGGAGTGCGTGCCTCACTCATGCTCCTCGTGCTTAATGATGATTCTATGTTGTAGGGCCTTTCGGCTGTATCGGGCGTGGACTCGCCATGCAAGAACTGCGTGTTGTGGTGGCCTACCTTGCCCTTCACTTTACACTAACATTTCCGGTTGGATTCGATCCTCACATTTATCGCGCTCACATCAGAAATATCCGCACAACATTCTTCCCAACTCCCCTGCATGTAGTACTTGAGAGCCGTTGATGTACAAGTACTCATTTATATGACTTCTATGTTTTGCATCTTCTGGAGTTTCGGGCGAAAATTTCCGGTGCAGGGCTGATTGTTGTAAGACAGAGCTTCCGTCAAGGAGCCAGGGATAAACAATAAGTGGCCGCGGGCTGGTGAAATAAGGAATCTAGATAGTGAGTCGGAAGATAGGTTGTGTAGCATGAAGTCGGGATGTTCCAGAGCAGTGTCCGCTGTCAGATATATATATAATCGGGTGGGTATCCCTGAAAAATAGCATATCACCCGAGAAGATGGTAGTGATCATCGACCTCCCCCCCCCCTCCGGAGCACGCAATATTGACTTGATGGTCTTTGGGCTATTCAACCCACAGTGGAGGATTTTCAATTCATTGTTATTCCACACCAGCTACACAAAGTGCACATAAACCCAATAATTAGATGTAAACACATAGTCCCACAGGTATACATCATCTGCCCATATGGCACTGCACCAAGTTACAGTTCCGGATCACAATGTACTGTGCTCAGTTAATGCTAACTGCCTTTGAAGAGTCATCCCAGTCTCGATACTGTAACCTTACACATTAGCCACATTAGCAAGTCACAGGGGAGACTACCTACCACAGCACTTGGGTCTGTGCGGACAAGGGTGCTGGTCTCTGTTTGAATCCTGACCGGGTGCTGGGACAGCCTGTCAGCCTATATACTAAATAAAGCATTGATAGGATACCTTTATTTGCAAGTTGCTGGCTGGCGGTAGGTCTGACAATTCAAGTGGTGTAGCATTGCCATACTTTCTCAGACGCTTCCGAGCATTGAGGCTGTGATCATATATGAGCTGCATAAGAGAAAAAGCAAGTGACAAGCTCACGTTGAGAGCAGGCAGTTTGAATACACTATGGCATGATTAGCTGTGAAGCACCATGAGACTATTGACACACATTTTCCAAGCATAAAATTAAGTCCAAAGTTCACAAGGTTATTGGGCATGGTGAGGAACTGGAGAGGTTGATTAATCCAGCAGTAGTAGCACATTGGCTAATTGATTACCGTGATAAAGCCTGCTATTGCAACAAGGCTAGACACCATTATGAACTTCAGTGCAGCCATTTACATGCTGATAATGGCTTACCTAGTCAACACACCACTGTTGACAGAGTAGATGATGAGTGTATTGATCAAATCATCAGTCCTAAGGTCCAATAATTTATACATATATCTATGCATGAGACCATTGACCCTTACTTTGAGAACCCTGTCCTTTTCTTGGACAGAAAATAGCAGAGACTTGCAGCGATAACCAAGTCCACTACAGCTGTACTTGCAAGTGAGGTGGTAATGATACCCTATGTTGTTACTGTGAAATTATGTCACAGGATTTCCTTAGGATAGTGAAGAAACCTTATAGTATTTGAGGTTGGCAAACTCCTTGACACGGAACCTACAACATATGAGATCCATTAACTTATTAAAATAGTGCCTTACCCAATGACTGTCATGGCTTTGCACAACTATGAGCAGTGCATATTGGTGGAGACTATAAACCCACCAAAACCAGCGGCTGGAAGCAGAATAAGCTGCACATTGAGTTGGAATAGAGATAAATACTGACCAAACTGGACCAGGGACAAACAATCCTGAGATCATCCATTTAGTTAAATGCATGAGACAAACAATGCAATTCCTACAATGAACACCATCAAAGCCCACATCCTGTCACTCACTTTGTGACAATGAGTATAGTGAATGGTGTTGGAGGCAGAAATCACTCACTAATAAAGACACGCCAACCCATGTACCTGGAAGGGAGTTTGTAAATGATGCATGACTATACTGGAGTTGACGTACATCTGTACCAGAGATCCAATGCAAACCTTATAGGTGATGTAAATACTAACTAGTGGTTTGGACATAATATAGTGGAGTTGACTTACATTCAATGCCACAGGTACCTGTTAAGTAGGATTAGGCATATTCTCATACTAGTAGTAGATATGCAAATAGGGACCTACAATGATACTCCTGGACATGTAAATCAGGATCAGGTCAATACACTTTCAAGGAACATACCCACCAATTAGCTGTTGCAAGAGCCAGATAGTTGCCATACATTGTGACAGCATAGTAGTATAGGGCATGACAGGTGAAGGCTGAATGCAATGTATCAAGGCACCTAGGTCCAATATAAACAAGGGAGATGTGTCATGAACACAGTACTGAGCACACCAGAGGATCAAGACCTGTTATTGGATGAATTCACAGTTACAACTAAATCGGAGAGCATATACACACTAGAGCTTTCAGGTAAAAGCGGTCATCCCTGTAAGCCCGGAGATACTGGAAGGTTTGCAGACAGGACAAGCCATAGAGACTGGAGTAGACGGAAAATCAGACGGGGGAATAGTGAGGGTAGAAGATTGCCACGACATACGCTGATGCACAAATTACACCAATAAGTATGGCACCGAGACTGTTGTCTAGAGCGGGAGGAGCAGGTGTGGACATAGTGGTGGAGAGTCTGACCAAGGATATGTCACAATATAAGAGCAAACCTACGGTGCACATATTATGAATGCCGACACCGAGTGAAGACGTTCACTTGCAGCGTAGTCGATTTCCAACATGCCCTCGCCGTCTGTATCAAATTCCACGGGAATCCATCACTAATCAGAGTTGACAGGAACATCGATGATGAAGTGGAACATCGCCTGTGGCGCTGGCATGCGAAAATGGTTATATTCGGCATTAGAGCGAACCTCCGCGGTTGAACCGCGAACTGCGCCTTCTCACGTCGAGCCAACCACCTGGGATTGTCAGGGGCGTATGTAACTCACTGATAGAACTATCAACTTGGGAACATGATCTGACTCTATATGTCCACCACCGTTTCGGCTTACTGGTCACGTCCTGCAACTGTCCATAATCACACTATTAATAGGCGCAGTCCCTATCTTGTCCCGCACCAAGGGCTGTTCTGGTAGTCTATCGTTGAGCGGACTTGAATGTTTGGAAGGTACGTGAGGACTTTACCGAAGCCACACTCTCATTTCCAACAGACTTCAACGGAAGCACTATCCGGAACTGAGTTCGGCTCTCCGATCTATCATCCACACTGTATCGGACGACATCGCGTCGCAGCTATGTACGAGGTACACCGCTGCCCCAGAGGTGCTGCGGCGCCGCTATCATGCTTGTCCATCTCGTTTTCCGGACCATCTCACGCACTTGAAGCAGATAGTGCCAGTGACTGATCATCACGGCCGAGAAATCTAGCCTCTCGCCACTCTCGCTTTTGTTAACTTTGATGCACATGTTGTAGTACGGAGTTTCACCCCACCAAACGGCCGAGTAAAAAGCGGAACTAATATCCACCATTAGCTGCCCTCAATTGGAGTCTATCGGAATGCGCTTAAGCTCTCTGCTCGCCACCAGCGAACTCTTCTCTGAATCGTACTCAGTGCGAGACCATCCTGAATGGAGACAGCGTGCAGACCGCGCATACCTTCGCGCTGAGGCCATTGGGTCGTTATATGGTATGTACAGTCCAGATTAAGCCAATTAATGCGATGATCATTTACGAGACATGCCAGGCTTAAGCGTGGAAGATATCCAATCTCTGTCTCCCAAATTCTGGAAATTGCACACAGATCCAATACTATGCGCCGATGGTGCAGCGACTACCCTGTTAACCATACAGTATAATTTGGTAGTTGGCACATTGACAGCACTGGGCGCTGGCCGTGAAGATATTACCAAACTCATTGAAGACCTGATGACTTTCAAAACACTGTACGTACTCGAATGTGACGTATAAGCTCATACTTTCTAATTAGTCATAGCGGGCAATTCTGCTTAACCGAAGTGGGACATGGCTTGGATGCAGCCAGCTTGGAAACAACAGCGACTCTGCTACCTGATGGCTCTTTTGAGCTTCATACCCCGTCCGAAAAAGCTGCCAAGTAAGACAAAATAGTCCCGTTTATCTATTTCTCTTGTCTAATGTTTATACTCAGATTCATGCCGCCTACCATTCCCGTTCTCGGTCGTCCATGCGTTGGAATTGTGTACGCTCAATTGGTTGTTGCTGGGGTTAGAAAAGGCATACGTGCTTTTCTACTTAATTTAAACGATGGACACCACATGAGTCCCGGGATCTCGGCGAGGTAAGGGATAGTGCTTTATATCTATTCATCCCACTCTTATCTGAGGGCAGGCTTCTTTCACCACGGCATGGTTCCTCCCCCGTCAATCATTCCATCACATCATTCCATTCTGTAAAGGTACCCGCTTCAGCTTTGTTGGGAGAGTTCGACGCCTATGGATCTGACCGCATGGGTTTCCTCCTTTCCTTATGGCGGGTAGGGGTAGGTGCTCTGGCATTGAGCTCTGTCTTGCTACCCGCCATCCAATTGTCGACTTATATCGCTGGGAAGTATAGCTTGCGTAGAACCGTGAACGATACATTCGGGACTCGCGTTCCAATCATCACATTCACGACGCAGCATATCCCTGTATTGACGGCGCTAGCGCATTCATTTGTCCTCAAGTCGTTCCACGAATATGCTATCAAGCATTTTATAGATGGTTCCATGGACTATCGAGTCCGGCATGGTGTGGCCGCTTGCTTCAAAGCCGTCATGCTACGCGCTTGTCATAGATCATTATTAACCCTATCCGATCGCTGCGGGGCTCAAGGCCTGTTCGGACATAATCGCATTGCATCATACTTTGTGAGTATCCGTGTTGCCAGCTTCTCCTTTCTCCGCTTCTTATGTACCGAGCGCACCAGGATGAAATGCGAGGTATAGGCATTGCGGAGGGCGACGTTCTTGTCCTTTCGATTCGTGAGTCGTGTCGTCCCAGATGACGAGAGTATCGTCACTCATGCTCATCGCCCCTTAGGTCTCGCATCGGAAATACTCATCAATCGATATTCACTCCCTGGCCCCGTCTTCGGCGATGGTCTACTCTGCAAATATGAGATGTGTATATTCGAGCACTTCCGGTCCATCACTTCCTCGTTCGGTCATCGAAGCCCAGAATTTGCGTCACTCGTTCTTCCGAACTGTCTTAACATGACCGAAGCCATTGGTCATCGCATGGCATATGAAGCTGCCGTTGCCCAAGGCGTACCTCAAGAACTGGTCCAAATATTCGCTCACGATGCCGTGAAGGACAATCTGGCATGGTATGCCGAGCATGGCTATCTCACGGTCGAAGAGTTTGGTCGCAGCACTGCTACTATATTCTCTTCTGCTCTGCCGAAACTCAAGTCTTGGATCGAAGAGTTGCAAGTCGCTCCTTACGTTTCGGCCGCGCCGATAGTCTCGGACGAAAGCTGGTCTGTATTTGTAGCTCAGCTGGACAATTACACAGATTCTTCCAGAGGGAGGGCTCGTGCACTGCTGTAGATACGTGATTGGCCCCGCCACTGAAAGATTCCACATGTTTCGAAATTATAATGGTGTTCAGGATATGCGTCTGATATTTTTTGAGGAGCTTATCGTGACAGAACAGCAAGGCGAAGATCTGAACGCAACATACCTATCATTTTCACGGTGCTGACAGCACGATAGATACAGGCACTATCAGCCCAATCACAATGGTCTGATGTCTGAACCGTTCACGATGACTCGAGACGAAACATCACGATTATTGATCTGAGAACTGGACACCCATAGTCTTACTATCAGCACATGCTCCATCATTAGATTCGATCACAAACAGCCACATTCAGTGACACGCCAGCTTCTTCTCTCCCGCCCGCCTTGAGAGAAACACATCCAGCTTGGTGTGGCACGTCGAGGGACCTCTACATTCCGGGCTAGCCGTGGCTATAATGATCATCAGTTCAAAAGCAGTCCTTTCCAGGAATGTTCTATAGTATGCGTCGATTGTCAGTCAGCCTCACGACGAACAAATCGGTCGCACCTTTAAGTGTCCAGCGGGCGGATGCACTTGCCCACTGAATCTGCCATAACATGTTAGCCTTCCCTTTCTGCTTTGCCATCGTCTGTTCCTTCCTCTTCTTTTTAATTCGAGGTTGACAGTCTTGAATAGGTTACGTGCGGAGCACTCCGCGGGCGAAACTTCAGAGGCGATACGGCTGTGGCGACGCTGTGCATCTCTTTTATATGCTGCGTGGTCCTCCGATGGCTTTGGCCACCAGTTTGCAGCCTTCGATCATCACTTGAGCTATTTGCCATATCTTTCGCTCACTTTATCCTTGCGATAGTCTGCATTACTGTTGTATATCGATTGTCACCTTGGCATCCACTTGCCTCCTTTCCTGGGCCCCTTTCCCACAGAATAACGGACTTGAAACTCGCCTATATGGTCTACACTGGAAAGCGCCACCAGAGGATCGCTGAGCTACACCGGGAGTACGGGAGAATTGTGAGAACAGGTGAGCATCCCTGCTGCGTGCTTGGATGTAGTAATATGATTCAATGATACTCAGGCCCAAGCACGTTATCCATCAATTCTCATTCAGCAGTCAAATCTATTTACGCTGTCTCGCATTGTATGGATAAAAGCAAAGCTTACAGGCCTGGCCGTTTGGATGCAGGCGGCCTTTTCTTCCTCACGGACGTTAAACGGCATAATGAGCGCAAAAGAATCTGGTCCGGAGCCTTCACAAGCGCGGCGTGAGGATTCACAATCCAGAGTGACTACTGTTTGCGCTGATTGTCTCGGAAGACTGGAATCGACTTCGAAGGTTATAGCTCAGAGAACTCTTGACCTCATTTCCTGTATCAAGCGGAGACAAACCCCCGCTGGCGTTGATCTTGGGAAGTGCATACAGCACTGGTCCTATGATGTGATGGTACGTCCCAGTTATACAGCGACTATTTCATGTGTTTACTTACAACGTGTCCGTAAAGGGAGATCTGACTTTCGGTCGCTCAAGCAAATTTGTACGATCACAGTGTTTTCTCTGAAGTCTAGCCACATATCTGACTTGAGCAGGAGCTCATGCGAGACGGTGACCCGAGAAACCTCGTAACTTCTGGTCAGAATGCAACTGTACTCTTCGAAGTGTAGGTCATTCATCCGGCCTCCGGCTCTGAATGCTCATGCGTGAAATTTATACAGGCTAGGCGAAGTGCCCCCTTTGTTTGATATTCTTTCGTATCTACCATTCCTTGGAGACATCCACTCATTGCAACAAATGTCACTCGAGCTACTGGAAATGAGAAGACGAAGAAGCCACGACGCTACGGCTGATATCTGCTCCCATCTGGTGACACGTTCGCTGCGGTACATCCAGGACATCAGCTCACATGCACGATTATTGACGTACCACAGATCCTGAAAGATTCTACTTCAATGCAGGAGGAGCTCAGCGAAACTGAGCTCAATTTGGACGTGTTATTTGCGATACAGGCAGGTGTGGGATTTATTCTACCCCGTCTCATCACCGACGACGACTCACTGGTCTTCCAGGATCGGACACGACTTCGGGCGTCCTGACTTTATCACTATATCATATTTTAGCGAACGCGAAGGTGTATACGAGGCTCGCAAATGAAGTCCGGGATGCTTTCCCTAGCGGATATATCACAGCTGATGACCACCCGCGACTACTCCAGTTGCCGTACCTATCATCAGTGGTGACGGAAGCTCTCCGTCTCGGTTCTCCATTCCCAGGTCTCCCTCGTGTCGCACCCAAGGATGGCATAGTTATAGATGGCATGTTCATACCCGGAGGGACGATTGTCGGGGTACCTGCGTGGGCTCAGCATATGTCTCCAGATAATTTCTGGCCAGATCCCGAACGCTTCGTTCCGGAAAGATGGCTTGACGAAGGACAAGGCACAGACTCTATAGCGAATAAAAATGCAATAATGACGTTCTCATCAGGTGAGCACCTGAAGTATCGAGGACGCAACCCAGATCTGACTGTCCAATCATCATCGCCAAGGGCCCTTCGGCTGCTTAGGGAAGGCCCTGGCTATAAAGGAGCTATACGTAGTGATCGCCCAACTCCTTGTGTCTTGCGACTTGACTCTGGGCCCCAAGTTCGACCACAAGCAGTTCTATCATGGGATCAAGAATATGCGCACGACCATATTCACTTACCCATTGACTGTATCTGTGGCTATTCGGGACGCGGATGATACTCCTCGAGGGTAGAAGGTTGGAGGACATTTCATCAATAGAAGTAAGGCATAAGTTTCCGGTGCCTCGAATTCGCGTTCCATCACTTTATATGTCGATGATCTGTGCAACAAATGCTCCAGCAAGGACGGAAGAAGAAAACGCCGGAGAACTGGCGAATAGAGAATATGAGGGAAAGCGAACAGCAGCAGCGGAAATTTTCATTGTGAATGCAGTGGCAACGGTTGGGTTTAGAATAGAGATGTTGGGGGATACGGAGGTAAGTAGTGGCATGATCACAGTACCCCATGTCAGTGTGGCACAGATCCAGTGGCCATCCCTACTAATAAATCATACATACCGAGTGCAGGCAGCACTGGAAACTCACAAATCCCCTTAAATGAGCCATACCGCCTTTACCTATCGCCCCCTTTACACTTGCTTCGTATGACGATTCTCTGCGTTCACCGGTCACCGAGCAGACCAATCTTTCTGATACTCGTCTCGTTGTATAAGCAAGCGCACCTCAAGCTTATTTATCACAGAGGTGAACTTGAACATCTACTCGCTACGATAATTCAGTAGATAGGTTAGACTGTTGGCGCAATACATTGTTGCGCTGCGCAGGCGGCTAAGGACATGAAAGATCGTGATCATCGTCTAATGGAACTACTATCCCGCTCAGTCCGACACCTCGACAGCGAACTCCGATCACTACTATTTCCAATAATCTGCTGCTATGGATTCAGAGCAGATATTGCTGTAATGTGATCAGAATTGTATCTCAGTTCAGGTATTTCTGCAAAAAACTTGCAACTGCTTCCGGTGACATTGATCTCAATTTAGCAACGATCCCCGTTCGGTATACGATCATTCAGGGATCACTCCTGGAAGGCAGGACTCAGATTACAAGACGACGTATATACCTACCATGTCCTCTTCTCTTTAACCTTCGCGAGTTCGGAGCCCTGACAGGGGACAACGCAATAGGCACTGGCTCGACTTCTGTCGTTCGGACGCACGGCGGTATCCCGCCACCGCGATGATATGGGATAGTGCGACTAAAAAGAAAAAGGCAAACTAAGCACATATAAGGGATAAACTACTCTGACGCCCCTGTTTGCCAAAACAAGACTCACCATTCCACTGACGCGCCGGCGCACCCTAACAGAGCATTGCCCTTGACAGCAGGACACTCAGCACGAGGCGAGGTACTCGGCCCACCATCTGGGCGCTCCCGGTCTCACGCGTCCAAGCAGCACCTCAGCAACTGCCAACCAAGCTACGAAGCGGGTCCTCTCTGTACATTGGCGCGTCTGCGATGCGATATCGATATCTTAGCAAGCCAGGCAAGGCATCACTAGTCACTGCGCCTGCATGGCCTACAGGATGCTGTGGAAGGACAATAGAACCGCTTTCAGGAACCACCAAAAGAATGACCTGGAATCGTCAGTCTCCTACGCGCCCGCAGAAGGGAGAGGTGGCCCCAGGATTCGATCACGTACGAGAGGCGCCACTCACTCCTCTAGCATGTATAAGGCCGCATTATTACCCGCTGGCCCATCTCCTCCTTTACAACGGTCAGTTTATGCACTCTCTACACGTCGTATTGACAACTCACCCTCGCTTTAGCTCGCTGTCAGCGTCATCCCAAACAGCACAGATACATGAAACGACGGCCTACGCGAGCCCGCTATCGACCAGCGGCGCCGTCCGAGACGTCCTTGAAGTGTCGAGGACGTCCAAGTTTTGTGAGGTTATCCGGAAATACACTTGCAGCGAAGACGGTGAGTACACCCACAACGCGCACAGAGGCAATGATTCACCTACTGCGTACAGGTTGGAGGGCTATGGCCTTCGCGGCTAACACCTTCTCAAGAGCATGAGTATTGTGCGATCTGTGCGATTACTCGCACAACTACGCTTACTTACTCCACTTTGGCCACTCGGACTATCCGGTTTTCTCAACACCCGGATGGTCTGAGCGCTGCGAGACAGCGACTACTCTTCACGTCGGCTCACTGAGCCGGCAGCATAGGAGGATTGGGTGGATATGGACAACGGCAAATGGAGGAAACCCGAAAATCGCTTTCTCGTTCGACGCGTAGGGGCGGGAGCTCGCTCCTGACGTCCAATGTGTCCTGATCCACTCGCTACGAGGATAAAGAGGAACCGAAGGAAGGGCTGGAGTAGGGGTGCAAGTTGCCCTTTGACGCCCGCCAAGAGACCCATTACAACGTTTATTGACACTAACAATGCAGGCGGTAGCGTCAATGTGCACCCTTGGACGTACATCGTGCAGGTTTTCTCTATTGCTGTCATCTCTGGCGTACGCGGTCTCCCCGGACGCACCTCGCAGAGAAGTACGACAGAGCACGACCGCTGTTTGCAGGTACCGATCCGTTCCCTCCCAATACTTCGCCGTGCTCTCTTGACCCGTATGCAGCACTCCTGGACGCAAATCAAGAAGGAGGACAACACGGAACCCCCTCGTCCAATCCTCAATGCTCGCACAGGAAAAAGGCGAAGAACATGACACCATATTCAGGCTCTCTGTTGCTGTTTGCGGAATCAGCCGTTTCTCGACAGAACGACGTCGGCGTGGCTGATTCACTTACTACTGCCCACCGCTTAACACGATTACAAGCACCATCAAGCTCTGACTACTCACCTAACAGCCCTGCTACGCCCAGTGAGGATACAACCCGACCCACAACCTCTGGATACGGGAAAACGGCAAGGTCCTCTTGCGACCGTGCCTCTGTCGGGGGTCGTAAGTGCGTTCGAGTCTATGACATGCCGCATACGAGATTCCACAACGCCTTGAAGTCGGTCCTTATCCGCGAATTCGGATGTATGAAATAGTACACTCATCTCCAACGTACCTCGTTTCATCTCCAAGCTGCCAAATGCTCCGTCATCCTCTTATATCCCTTCCAGAGCCATGCGCATATTCACCACGTTCTGTCTCGCCATCCGTGTCTCCAATCCTGACCTACAACATGTACATTCACTTATTTCTTCAACGCCCTACCCACGACACACGGTCTCTCATAATCTCAGCCTGAGGAAGAGCGCAACCTATTCCGGGGCGTTCTCAGCGCCGTGTATTCGATCCCGATGTGGTAGATACAGTAGATCGTAACTTGATCATGCGAGACGACTCAGTTCTCCGTCACACAATGATGTCGTGATAGTTACGTGACAGTCGTGAGCTGAGCTGGTCGTCCGAGTCGTTGACAATGTCCTTCACCACGACCACCGTGCTCTCTGTCTTCCCTGCCTACTATAGCGAGCTGAGTGCTGGGTGAAGATCCTCCAGCGTATATTAATCCTCGAGGTGCTGCTCAACTCTTTTGTAAGCTGGCCGTGCTATCCTCTCAACTTCGAACGCTGCGGCTGCAGTCCGGCTCTTCCTGCTGCTCTGGCTTCTCAGTTTTGTGGAAAGTTCACGCTCCCAATCGTTCTCGCTCTTGCGGGGCCTGTCTGTGCGAAACCTTTGACTGCGTCTGGGTCTCTGCTTATCACGATGACCGGAATCTGACAGAGTGCGCTAAAAGAGATCTTAGCAATCGGAAGAATTACCCTGGATATCGATGATTGTATTTATTCACTCTGACAGTGATGTCTTATTTTCTAGGTTCTCTGTGCTCTTGTTCCATGCCGCCACCGCGCCCATTAGTATCTGTCTATTTGGCCTTGTCCTCTTTTCTCTCACGTTCTTCGAGCTGCTACAGCACGAGTACCTCAGGCTCAGATACCGCTCCCTCAGTCTCTCCCGGTATGATCGGCAATTGCAGATCTACCCTTGGAGCCACTAACGTTTACATGCTATGCCTTCAAGACATGATGTCTTCATTCGCTCGTTTCTTTGTCTGGCTCCTCGTGTCTTGGTCAATGGTCGCTCTTAAGCCTAGCTGATGACCTTCATTCCACCGATGACCGCCCATCGAAGAAGCATTAACTTGGCGTGAGTATCCAGTATCACATACTTAGCAGTTATCCACCCGCTCTTTCAAGGCAGCAGCGATCCAATGCTTTACATGATTGATTCTTGACTCAAACGAAGTCGACCAAATCATGTGGATCTGCTCCGGCGCTTGCTTCTCGTGCACTTCTCGTTCTCTCTCTACGCTTGTGTTATGATGTTTTTCGTCTCTGCTGTCTCTCCTTCCGTAACCATCTGTGTTCTTCTCCGCATCACGTCTCTCCCCGCATATACGCTCTTCATTCAGCGTCTCTCCCGCCTTCTACAACGCAAACAAGACTCAGACGCTAACCCTGGTGCTGGAAGGCCCCTATTTTCTCCTTTTTCATATTTTAAGTACACTGGTCCACCGCTTGACATACCGCTCGCGCGTTTTATAAAGTCTCGTTGACACTGAATATTGATGACGGCACGTCCATACTCTCCACTGTCGGATGGCACAATCATATTCCTCGTGCGCGTGACGTCCAGCCCGCCCGCAGCTGCACATCATCCTCGCATGTTTTGTAACCTTCCCTAGACATACCCGCTCCCCACACTTCTTGCACCCATCGTCCGGCTTGATACAGGGTAGGTGGGCTATCGTTTTTCTGATCGCACTCGAACATTGGCTCAACGCCGTCATTAAGGGTACACATGAACTATTGGTTTCAGGCGACTGGCGGTAGAGGGTCCTGCTCGCCAAATCGTGTCCGTGCTATCACGTATCAAGGCCATGTATTTCGGTCAGCAGCCTCAAGAACGTATCGTTAGCTGCAGCGTCTGATGTCTCTGCATGCCCTGACTTGCACGGTAACGAGCGCGAACGTTCGCACGGTTTCCGAATCACCTCACAAACGGTCAGGAGAGAGACCCCACCGGATCTGAGATGCGGTTTGCCTCCTGGAAGAAGGGTGTTGAGAAGGAATGGGTGGGGGAAGACGATGAGGGCTGACCGTCATGCTGAAATATTGCTGTGCGTTCGTCAACCTAATGCCGGGATTTATGAGACTGGGATAGCTGCGGCGATGGTAAGTTGGCAGGGATCTGAGGTTCAAAGCGAGTGTAACGCCCTACTTTTATACCCCGTGAGAGCGCCACCAAAGACTCTAAAAGCACTCTTGGCAGCCAGCCACACGCAATGCATACGAAAGACGCTTGGGCAAATCAATGCGCTTGAGTGATTCGGCAGTCGCCAGGGTGAGGTCTGCGTGGTTGCTCTTGGAAAAGAGGTGTCTAATCCTTGTAGCACAAGCATTATTGCGTTTCGAATGAGGAGCGGCTTGAGCTCATCTTGGGACACTCCATGAGTCTCCTGAAGGGACTCAGTGAGACTTGAGTGCCACATACGTGCACGGTTTAGGGGTGGCGCATACATTCACTGGCAACGTGTCATGGGCGTCGTTTGCGGACCCAGAGCTTATAGGAGGCAGGATCGGGACAGTCCCGCTTGTTGCCGAGAATCCGTAAGCATGATACTGTCGAGTCCATCTCTGAGGTGGAGATGACACTTTCTGGTGCTCCGGCGAGGGCGAAGGATCGAGTGGGCAACGCCGCAAGACGGAGCTAGGCAAAGACCTTACCTCCAAGCCTAGCCAAGTCGACCTTCTGCAACTGCTATCTGATTAGCCCTTTGGTATCACGCGATACCAGAGAGCCAACCAGAGGCGCAGTCGCCATGGGGCGCGGTTGCCAGTAGTAGTCAAAAAAAACTTGGGATTGTACTCCGCATTCCCGTAGGAAGGTTGACCAGTGACACAGCCAGACAACCTTTCTACGGGATTGAAGTGAGCGTCCTCCTGCATACACATCCAGTAACAGATCCACCTGTCGCGGTCTTCGAAGGGTACCCAGAGCTGTCCTACGTTTGCACTTTGAAGCTGTCACGGTACGCCCGACGTCCCATGTGGAAGTTGGGATGCTTGTCTTGTACTCAAACCTCGACGCCTGTTCGTCTTGAAAGATAGCTGTATTCTTTTTCAAGAGGTCCGGTGTGGTACTGTTCTTTGACGTGCGTCGGGGGCCAGAGCGCATCCGAAGAGACCTCGTCCAAGAAACACTGGGAAGAAATGCCCCAGGGGATACCTCCAGAAGCCATAGCTCAAACACCCTTGCTCAAGTACGGCTATAATGTTCTCCGAGCAGACGAAAATATTCAGCTCCTCTCGGCAATACCAGGTCGTGGGAGGCCGTCTTCGACTGGAGCAACGAGGAGTCATCCTACAGCTTCAGTCCTGTCGTACTTCTCCGCGAGGTGCCCCCCACGACATCCCGCCGACCGATGGATCTGGACACCTGTTGCGAGTGTACGTTGACGGTTGCCGTCTGCGTCGTGTTTTCGCCGACGTCGCGTATCAAGCCACAGGGCGGACCAATCCGGGAGCGCCCAGGGATGTCCGTGCTTATTCAGAGAGGACGGGGGACGGGTGTGCTGGTGAGCGCAGATTGGGGGGTTCCGTTTGAATGATGGCCCTTGCTAGTCTCCCCATCCCCTCCGAAATCGTCGGTTACAAGAACGATGGGACCGGGCAGAGACGCTCGCGGTCGGCAGTGAGGAGATATGCCAGTTCGAAGTGCATCAGCGGAGGGTTGTTCGACCGCCCGAGGAGGTTCACTATGATATAGGGTCAGCGGCATGCACAGGTCCGCAAGACAGAAAGTGTTAAGGCACGATAAATGAGCGATTTACACAGGGAGTAGTGGGTACGCACTCACCACGATCGGGGATCGATCGATATACGATGACGGCGTGCCACTGTCGTCTTTCCGAGCAGCCTCACGGACAGTGACTTCTGGGCTAAGTGTCGACGGACGGATTCGTTCACCGTCTGGTACGTTGTCCGGTGCGTCTTGTAGCGAGTAACGCTGAAGTATTGGCATATCGCTGGTGCCCGTACGGCGAAAGGACGATTGTTGGCGACATAGCGCCCATGGCATTGTTTCTCGCCGCTGAGGGGGACGCTCGCAAAGGTGAGGATACTGCGTTGATAGCGTCGAGCGCGTCTGCAACGGGATACAGAAGGTTGAGGAAGTGGGGATGAGGGATGGGTATGGTGTAGTGCTTACGACGCCCCTTTATAATTTTTGAACCCCCTACGAATCAGTGGCTCTACCTGGATGCCATGGTGGTGGAAGTCAGAGGCATGTACGCCCCATCAATGGTGGGTGGGCCGCTTCCCACCCTAAGCGCGCGTTTCCTCAAGCATATATCCAAGCAACGAGCTTCGTCTGCATCGATTTGGAAGTGTATGCCAGGGCATAGGGGTCGCATAGCGATCTGCGTGGCCTACCGAGAGGTTTGGCATGTCAGCCGGGCTCCCACCTCTAGCCCGACAAAGCACCAGCCGTGCTCGGGTACTCACCTTGATATCTTGGTTGCGAGCAGCATTCCGGAAAACCCAAAATAAGTGGTCTAAATGGCGCATCGTGTCCATGAGCCCCGATATCCGATATAGCGCACGACATTGGCTGATCAGACGAAGTCAAAGCAGAGAGCGCCAGGGGATGAGATGACGCTGCCGACCAAAGCTGCTGCAGCGCCCCCAAGATGGGATGTAGGTCATACTGGCTGCGGACAGACAACGTCCGAAAGCTAGATAATGTCGCAGACGTTGCCCAGGAGGACATAATTGTCTCTTGGCATACCTGCGCTTGTACCGCAGGACGGGTTTGGCTGCTATTTCGAGGTAAAGGTCGTCACCAGAGCCTCCAGTTTAATCAGGCATTAGTCCGGTTGGGACAGGTTGGGAGGTTGGAATGATGTACAGTCTTCTCTCTCTCTTCCCAGCCGTCCGCCCAAGAGCATATCAAACGTTACGGTTGGCTGGTTCTGAGGTATGTATCGCAGCGAAAGCGGTACGAAATGTGCTGACAAATTTGTAAATGGGCGCTTATTGGATGTTGGCATCCTGATTGGTCGAGGAATATATAACGTCGCGCTCAATCGGACACCTCACCAATGCCTTGCAGAACCATAGTTATCCGTTCTGTACCATATCCTCCCATGAACTGTCCGAGTACTGCGTACCGCAAACCCCGTTTACATTAGCGAACGATATCACTACGAAAAGTTCCCATCGCCTTCGATGACCTTGATCTCAATATAGCAAACGATCCCCTTGCGGTACAAGACCATCCTACCATCCTCCCGGAAGATCGGCTCAGCAGTTGTCTAGTTCTCGATTAGTCCACTGCTCCTGTATAGGACAATGGGACGGGCACGGGTCGTCCCAATCCCGGAGACGCAGGGCGACATCCCCTCCATACACGGCCATAGTCTGGGATTCTACGAATTACCATGCCACAAGGAATAACCCATATATAGAATAAAACTTGGCGGGCCATTCGTCGTATGGGCGCCCCAAGTACTATTGACGCGCTAGTGAACCGGCACAGAGCCTGGTTGTCGACGCCACGACACCATGACACGAGGCAGGGTACTCGAAAGCTTGGCCGCCTTCCACACTCGCCCGTCCGAGCACTTCCCTAGCAACATGCCACTAAGCGGGTGCCCAGTAACCGACGGTGTACTGGTGTCCTGCGACGCGATCTCGACATCCGGACGGGCCGCGTGGATCGCCATGGCGCGGGCGTGGCCTCCAGGTCACTTTGGAGCGGTTTGAAACAGGCCGACGCTTGAAGGAGTGAACGGGAGAATGATCTGGAAGCGTCGGTCGGCCACGTACTGTCAGAGGGGGCCGCGTAGCCCCAGGATTCCACCAAGGTAGGAGATGAGCCACTTACTGACGGGTCTCCTCTGGCATATAAAACCGGGCCAGCTCACGGTCAGTAGCAGAATCAACCTCCTCCATCTACGAGTATTCGGTCCCAACGTCTTCCACTACTTCACTTCGACACAACCACAAGAGTACCACCCTCCTCGTTTACGACGGTCAGCATCAGCACGCTCTCCTCGTAGTGGGCACAACTCACCGTTCCTTTCAGATCGGCGCCAGCATCAGCTACAGTCCGCAACGACCATGAAACGTCGGCCCACGCGCCGCCGATACGGCCCAGCAGCGCCTTTCCGGCCGTTCTCGAAGTCGAAGGGACGTCCGTTGTTTGTGAGGTTACTCGGAAATACGCCTGCAGCGTTGTTAATGACGGTGAGCGCATCCCAACCATTCCCGCAGCCCATCACTCATGACAGCCCGTAGGCCGGAGGGCGACCTCTAGCGCATCCAATACCTGCTAAAGAGCATGAGTATTCTATGACTTATGCGATTACTCTCTCAAAAGCGATGTCTTGCCCCGGTGTCGCCGCTCAGCCTATTCGGGTCTCCTACAACCCGAAGAGTCTGAGCGCCACGAAACACCCCATAGCGGCCGCCTTGGCTCAATGAGCCGGCGCGGCGGCGTAGGAGGGTAGGCGGGGGCAGGTGGTAGGCCGCAGAGGAGGTCCCTAAGTCACCATCTCCTTCCTCGCATACTGTCGTCGTCGCTATCCCCTCATCACCCCTGCGTTGTGGTCGACGCGTGCGGAAGAGGATGAAGGCCTGAAGAAGGTGCTGGAATATACCCCCACGCAGTACTCCCGGACGCATAACATCCGAAGCTCCAATCCGACACTCCTTGGGCATGAACAGACGACGAACACGACACCATACGCAGCCTCTCCAGTGTCTGCTAGACGCGTCAGACGTACCTGGATGGAACGACCCCCGTGTGCGGGATGCGCCGAGCATTTCCCATTATCGCCCATCCCTTGAGTCGATTACGGCGCTGCCCCGGACTGGCACAGTTCACTCACCTGCCATCCTACACCCCCGATAAAGAAAAACTGGCGAAGTCCCTTTGCGACCGCGCCTTTGTTGCACTTCGTAGACTCGTTCGAGTCTTTGACATGCAGCAGATGCGCCTTGCGAACGGACTGCCGGTGACACACTCCCGTTATGTCGTCGTTTGGTTTGAGGTGAGTGATTAACATTGCGTTCGTTCACTAACACCATAATCGGCCAGCACGGGAACACATACCTTATGTGAGCCCAATGGCCTTTCTAGAGTGATAGGCTGTCTGCGTACACCGGACGGATTATGAGCCTCTTGGCGGACGAGAGTTGTGATGCGTAGAAGCCGCGCAGCGCGAATGATTAACTCCTGTAGTGATGCCTTAGGGTTCAGAAACACTCACTAGGTACGATTCTACGCAACTTTGCAAGGGACCGAAGCGATGGGGACCTGCCTGCATGCAGAGTGCGATTCAGCACGACCCGGGGGTGACTCACCATCCCACCTCCAAGTTCTCTTCTCGTTACGGTTTCAGATCGATGGGATGAGGGAGAATCCTGCCTTAATCTGCAGGATCATCTTGGCCTTTACTTTCCTTCAGTTCATATGTACCTGACCGTTGAGGAACGTAGGGTATTTTTGGGGAATAGAGAGATGGAGCGTCGAGGTAAAGTCAGTCGATATCTGGAGGAACTCACTTCTTCGTCTGTACCGGACAGACCAGACCCTGTTCGGTCTTACCGGTCCCTCCTTTATCACATTCCCAGCCTCAGAAACCCCCACTGTATCCGTCCTCCCGCCCGTCGTAACGCCCGTCTTCATCCCGGCCTCCAGCGTCAAGTGCTCACCTGCCACGTCAGCGCCGTTCAGACTCGTTGAGACGACCCTGACCTCTCTTCATCGCGGTCCTTCCCACCGCGTTCTCAGCCTGGCTGTTCTTCGACTGGTATACGTGTTCTAGAGTTGAGGAAAAAGCAGGCGCTTGTTGTGTAGATGCTGTGCTGAACGCGTGGTCTGTCAACACATCACCGAGCAAGGGCGCGCAGACTTGGTTTACACGTCGATCATCATTGATGATTTCGAGCTTGACAGATAACTCCGGTGAACTGATGGTTTCCATCATACTATGCAGTTCATCCAACCCCATGCACCTATCCCCGGAATATCCAAACAGCTGTCATTGAGCTTTGCTCCTGTGCAGAGTTCAGCTGTAGTTGCATCCAGTCCTGTATTAATATGCAGGACAGGAGGACCCTAGAGCCGCACTCTGAACGTAGCTAGCGTATTCTCTTCTCTTCAGAGTTTTACTGATCGCATGGTAGGGATGGAGAGCTATGTACAGCTATCAGGGGCAAGTGATATATCCGATTTACATGCCCCTCCGTCGACGAGATTACCTCGGTGAAATCACGCCAAGGTTGCGCTCAGGTGTTTGAGGGCGATGGCTACTCCTTCATTCCATCGCGCGCCAAGCACTCCTAGCGGTATATAACTCGGGAAAGGACAGGATGCTCAGACCGGTGGACTCGGTTCTCCCAACTTCGTCTTTCTCTTAAGGTTCGTCAACTCAAACTAACAAACCATGCAATAGGCTGATTGGGACGTTACTCCAGTTATACTATTTTGGAGCCTGGTGCTTCCTACATTTATTGCACGCCTTCCTACGTGCCTTGATTAATCGGTCGACATAATTGGTGAGTCCCTGATGTTCGTGGCTTCATTCACAACTGACCATGCTCCTTCCTCCCCAGCATTCATTCTTTTGACGAACATCGAAGATGTACTTCTCTCCTCAATACGTCCTGCTTGTATGCCTGGCCATTTCTGGCGCTTTGGAGACCGCAATCGCGGCACCACTCGATGTAGGCCTGAGCCATCTTCGTGTCCAAGCGTTCTGCTAATTCACCATTCACCTCGCAGTCGCGTTCGAGGCCTAATGGAGTTCAATGGAGGAGCTCAGAACAGGAGGCGGAAGTAAGCATTCGCTCCATGACCTGAAAGTCCATAATAACCTGGCTTCGTAGCCGCACCAACTCGACAGACGACTTTTTGGATTCGGGAAGTCTGGAGGCAAATCGCCGGGGAAGGTCGGTACCAAACCGCCCAAGACGCCCACCCGCGCTCCGCCCCAGACAACTGCCCGCGCTCCGCCTCAGACTTCCGCCGCGCCACCTCAGAAGGTTACAACAAGTAAGGCGGTCGTGGCGACTTCGGTCGCAGTCACGTCGGTACGGTTCCTCTGTGACACTTCTCTATACTACGCTCACATGCAAATTTTCTCAGAAATCCGTCGCGGCAGTCAGCTCTGCTGTGGTTGCTTCCAGCAAGGTCTCGAGTGTGGTCGTGGCAAGCAGCTCGGTAGTAAGGACGTCCTCGTCCCTGGTCACCTCGGCCTCTCTGGCTTCGTCGACGTCCGTGATATCATCATCCGCTGCTGTCTCAAGCAGCTCCGCCAGCCTCGTCTCATCATCCTCCGTCTCCCTGTCGAGTGCAGCGAGCATTACCTCCTCTGTCTCTGTGGCTTCGTCCTCGGCCATCTCGAACCGGACCCTCACTTCCTCGGCTGCCAGCATCACGTCGTCAGCCACCTTGAACGGAACCCTCACTTCCTCGGTGGCCAGTATTACATCCTCCGCGCTTTCTCTGAATGCGACGTCCTCAGCCATCGCGAACGGGACCCTCACCTCGTCCGTCGCGAGCATCACGTCCTCCGCCCTCCCGGCGAACGCGACATCATCCCTGGCATCCAACGCCACTAGCACGTCCAGTACTCTCGCAGCCGGCGCAGAACCCACCGTCAACCTCAATGACCCTGCCTCCGTAAGTGCCCATAACCGCTCCCAACGCCGACCTGGCTTAAACTGACCAACCCCCAGTGCGCGCTCAAGTCACCCGCAGGGAAGAACGCGACCGCCACGACGGCCGCCGCGTCCAAGACCACTGGCAAGGCAGGCAAGAAGGGCGTCCGCCGCCTGGTGTACGACGATGCCTATACCAACGCCAACGTTACGGCCCACCTGAGCGCCCGCGCGATATCGATCGACCAGTTCCCCAACCGGCTGTTCGTCGGCTACCACGGGACGCAGTCCGAGAACGCGGAGGCCTTCCAGAACAATGGTGTGAGCCCGCAAGAGCTGACGTCCGGCGCGAACGCGGAGCTGGGCTTGGGGCTGTACGTGGCGGACGACCTGGAGAAGTGAGTGTTGGACGTGCATTCGCGTCCATCCGCGCTGTGTTGTGGATGTCGCAGTCTACAACGCTGACGTGCTTGCTTTGCAGAGCCCGCGCTTTTGCCAACAACGCGCACAACAACGTCAACCATGCCAGGGGGCTGTCAGTCGCTAATGGTGACGGCAAGGCCGTGCTGGCCAAAGTCTGCAAAGTGTTCGCCAAGGACGCTACCACGTGGATCAACACTCCCAAGGTGCGCACTCTTGCCCGCCAGCCATTCGCGCGCACATAACGCTAAGCGTGTCCGTCAATAGTTCTGGTTCCCGGAGAAAGAGCCGGCCAGCGGCGCCGCGCTCATCAAAGACGACAAGAACGACATCGCGCGGCGCAACCTCTTCGAGCAGAACCGGCGCCTCTTCGCGCAGAAGAACGGGCTCCCCGCGGCCGCCGCGCGCTCGGGCGCCTTCGTCCGCTTCGCGCCGCTCGACGTCACGCGCAACAGCCCCGAGAACCAGTTCGCGATCCCCGACACGCTGCAGAACCAGCTCGTCGTCAAGTGCTTCACCGTCGACCCCGCGGGCGAGCTGAAGAACTTCCAGGAGGACCCCGAGTTGACTAGCGACGGCACCTTCCCGCAGTTCAGCTACAGGAACATGATCGGCCCGTGGAGGATCGTGCAGGGGTGTGCTTGAGTGTAGGCGTGGAGGTAGGGGCTAGGTGGACATACACTCGAGATTGAAGGTCATGTATTACTGAAGAAGGGATGTAAATGCGAATCGCGGTTCGAATTTTGGTGCAGACTTCTTGTCTCTAGCAACCGTGGACGTCGCGGTGCTCGACCGCCGCACCGAGTCTTGCACAGCTTCTACGGATGGCTCTCAACCGAGCTGGAGGCGCGCGACTGTGGCAAGGGACATCTGAGTCCGGCATTCGCCGTCAAGCACCAGCCACATGTACACGCACCTGGCGGCAGCCACAAAGCAGTGCAAACAATCCAGAAGCCAAAGACTCGCGAGAAGCTGACGGGATAGTCTGCGGTACCTCTCTCCATTATTTTTCTGCACGGCAGGCGCAGTGGCAAGATGCTGAGCACGATCATCGGAGCTGGGAGGATCCACGGGTTTACGTTGGCAGCGGATGCGGAGGGAACGATGCCAGCGCGGAAGTTGAAGGCGAGAGGTGATACAAATTGCATTTAGTTCTTCTCCATACACATAATCAATAGATGGGTATACACTAGATTCGTTCCTTATACTCGCTACAAGTCGTCCATTTAACCAAACCACAGCCAATCACGCATGCTACAGAACCAAGAGCCCCAAAAACATCAGCACCGCTCCCGGCAGGAACGCTACGTGCCCACCCCAGCAAGGACCTTGAACACCTCCCCCTGGCGCTCCCTAAACGCGCGCAGCCGCGTCAGCCCCAGCGCGAGCGCATTCACCCTATTGGCAAACGCCACCGCCCTGCCTTCCACACTCCGCCTGCCCTGCTCCCGCTCCCCCGCATCGTGCCCGACCCCGCGCTCAAGCATATTGCGCACCCTCTCCAGGCGGGGCGCGGGGACGTCTTCACCGGCAGCGGCGAGCCGCATCGCCGCCTCGTCATCCTGCTCCTCCATCTCCCTCGCCGCGCGCGCGATCCCCCCCAGCTCGACCATGAACGGCCGCAGCGCGGGCGGACACTCCGCCAGCGTCAGCCGTGTCCCCAGCACGCCGACCACGTCGCCCTCGGGCGTGACGCACGTCGCCGCGACGTCCAGAACCGCCAGCGCGACCGCGGCGAAGTACGCGCGCGGCGGGTCGCGCGCGAGCAGCGCGCGGATGGCGGGCGCGCGCGCGAGCACGTCCGCGAGCGACGCGTAGAGCGTCTCGCGGATGAGCTCGATCGCGGGGGAGTGTGGCGTGAGTATCGACGGGGACGGGGGCCGGGCGAGCGGCGCCTTGGGGTCGAGGTACTCCGGCCCGGCGGGCGAGAGGAAGCCGGACGCCGTCGAGGGTGTTCGGGTGTGCGTGTGCGAAGGGGCGTGTGGGGATGGCAGGTCGAACGCGTCCGCGCGCGGCGAGGGGTGCGGTGAGCCCGTCGACGGCGACGGGCTGGGGTCGTACGCGGGCGGCGGCGCGAACGACGCGCGCACCTTCCGCGCGCTGCCCCCGCCGCCCTCCCCCGCGTCGATCGCCGCCTGCAGATCCGCGGAGTAGCGCTCCTGGAACGAGCGCCGCTGGCTGATCTCGATCGCCACCGCGCGCAGATCGGCGGCGATGCGGGGGAGGTGCGGGTTGGGCGGGGCCGCGAGCGCGGGGAGGCCGCAGATGGCGCGCGCGAGGTCGTGCTGGTGCTCGGGCGGGAGCGCCTGGATCTCGGGGACGGTGTGCGCCCAGACGGCGAGGAAGGCGATGAACGGGCGCGGGCAGTTGTCGCCGGTGAGCTCGAGCGGCGGCGTGGTCTTGTTGATGCGCGGGAGCGGGACGGACGGCGGGTGGGTCGTGCACCGCAGCGCGGCGAAGTAGAGGCATAGTGCGGGGCCTGGACGGGGTTGGTGAGCTCGTGGGCGGGGTCGATGGGAGGGACGGGCGTACCGGTGATCATGAGATCCCCTTCCGCGCTGCTGAGCATGTCGACGTCGAGCAGCCGCTCGACCTTGGCCTGTGTGAGCGAGCTCTTGAGGTAGCTGTGGAACGCATCCTGGACGTATTCCTCCGACAGGCGCTCTTCGCTGCTTGACATTAAAATCGCTCTGATGCTAAACTCTGTGCGACGGGAACGCCCAAGGACAGAGGCGCGGGACACCCAGAAAAGATTGGACGGAAAAGTTGGCAAGCAATGGGAGACGCTCGCGCGAGTGCTTTTGACTCTGCGCGATGTCAGCGCGCATTATCTCATCGTCGGGCACCGCCACACCGGGGGTGGCACAGCGTCGGCCCGGGCGAGCTCCGACGGCATGGCGGTGCGTTTGGAGGCCTGAGCTCGCCGTTGTGGACGGCGCCGGAACTCAGAAGTGTTTCGGTCCTCGAAGAGGTTGGGCATGACACTGCGCCGTATGGGCAAAGTCGTTACTGTGGACAAGTAGTGCCTCAGTTGCAGTCCTGACTGACACGCAACAGCTTGCAGCATTAACACTCTGACTACCCGACACGGAATTAGACATATATTAGTACTAGTAATACAAACCACAGAAACAAACGACAGCAAAACGAGCAGCAGCAGCAAAACATGAGATTCATAACATGGCAAACATCAAAGCATACCACAACACCGCCAAATGCATTACCCCTCCGACTCCCCATCTCCTACAACGGCTCTATGTCATCACGTCTAACGTATCTACAAAGTACCTGCGCACGCCGTCATGTACATAGTCCATCCCATCCCATCTCCGCCGGAGCTCAGATCTCAGAACCCAGCGAGACACCCCTCGTCTTTCACCTCGAGCTCGCAGCTCTTGAGCGAGCACCCGGCCAGGGACTTGTACCGCCCGCCGTCGCCCTCGCCGCCGACGACGGCGACTCTGCTCCGCCTCGTGCGCAGCCTGGGCTTCCGCGGCTTGTCCGGGGGCGGGTCCTCGCGCGGGGGCGGGTCCTCGCGCGCGGGCGAGTGCGGGAGGAAGGCGAGCTGCGGCCCGTTGAGAAAGGCGCCGCGCGGGCGCGGCGCGAAGAACGGGGACGCGGCGTCCAGCTCGGACAGCAGGGGCGCGATGAACCCGTCGGACTCGTCCGACTCGGACGAGAGGTCCGCCACGAGCGCGGGCAGGGGCGGCGGGGGGGACGGCGAGCGCGAGCGTGCGCGGCGGCGGGGGTGCGAAGGGGACGCGGGCGGGGGAGGGGGAGGGGACGGCGCGTGGAGGCTGGGGAAGGCGCGTGTGCCTTCGCCCGACGATCCCCCGTTGTCGGACGCGGGCGGCGTCTGGTGACGTGCGTCAGCGCCGGTCGCATTATCACAACCGGAGGACAGCATATACTCACATTACACCGCCGCGGGTGGACGTGCCGCCCGCTCGTCTTGCCGACCTTGGCGGCGGGGGTGGTAGCAGGTGTATCGGCGTCGAGCGGGAGGTACGTGCGCCCGGGGCACCCGCGCGCGGGGAGCGCGCACGCGTTGGGCGCGACGACGATCGGCGAGCGGTCGTACGACGCGGGCGAGTGCGCGGCGAACGTGCGCGTGAGGACGGGCGAGGGCGGGAAGTGCACGGCGGGGCGCGGGGCGGAGTGCGAGTGCTGCGAGCGCTTGAGGATCGGGCGGGGTGGAGTCTGAGTCATAACTGGCGCGATGGGATTGTGGTATGGTACTAGCGACGGGATGGTGTATGGTGTACTGGTATGCGGGGTATACGGGGTCGAAGCTTGTGTGTGTGTGTGTGCGGGCGAGTAGGCGGTCTGCTGGCGACCCGGCGGTCTCAATTACAGGACTGGAGCGCCATGGTGAAGCAGGTGGGTGGGTGGGTCAAGGTCTGTTGAGTTTAGATAGAAACGCTTTAGATAGCAAAGCACGAGCGAGCGAGAGAAAGCCGCGCTGGCGATACCGAGGCCTGCCTGCCCTGATATCAGGAAAAGACCAGAACCCGAGAAGTCTGACTGCCCTGGCACGTTTGTGTGCTGTCAAACGATGCGCCCGAGCCAGGCAAGCCTGCTGCTGCTAGTCGAGTCCGCTGCTGTCGCCCAGTCGTAGCAAGGGACAACGCCGGGCAGTGCCCGTCGCAAATTTATGGGGGCGGCGGCGGTGGAGGCGGCGCACCCGGCATTGCTGTCCATTAGGTAAGCGTGTCAAGGGTCGGGAAAGGGACACGCCCGATGACGTAGCGCCCGTGGCGGTGCAGCGTGCTTGCCTTCGGTTTTTCATTTCGCGGTTTGGGTGGTATGTAAGTTGCTTCCGATGACAGGAAACCCTGCCTGCGAGTGTTTGGCGTAAGTGGGCTCGTACAGGGGCGATGGTCTGTGGGGTCCGCTTTACGTTGGCGATAATGGTGTGAGTGAGGCAGCGAGCGGCTGGATAGAGTGATCCAGCCTGCGTTCTCGGAGGCTTGCCCTGCCAGTAATCACCCGATAAGCTTTGCTTTAGCTCGAATCTACCTAGTCGCGTCACCTGCACGGACGTCTTTCCTCTGGAGTCACATCCCCCGGCGTGGCAGCAGCTACCCCAGAGATAACCGACCGCACTGGCCAATCGCGAACACGTATTCGAATGTCTTGAACGTTCCGGTGGACATGCATCCTACATATCAGCCTGAGCGTCCCGCGTCGAACTCGGAATCACCGCGTCGAGTTTGATCACGACATTCCTCCTCGAATTCTGCATGACGTCTCGCAGCCCCGCCCTGACGCGAGTCTGCCTCATGCTCGTCTTCGCCCCTCGAGCCTCTCGTCAGCGACAGACTGCCTCGGCCCTCCGGGAGATGTGTGCGCATGTGTACCCCGTCCTCATTGGCTGCGGAGGCGAGTGCGAGCCCGGGACCCCGCGGCCGACGGGCTATGTTTAGCGTTCGTCCTCCCATCCTCCTGTCCAACGAGTGCCTCGCGCTGATGGCAGATTTCGAGGCGCCTGGTCTGGTGCCTCGCTGCGCCCTGCAGACACAGGATGCTCGACGTTCGCTCTCCGGTCTTATCAGATCAATCTGCCAGGGGGAGTGTGCCGGCGGTGGGATGACCCCCACTCGCGCACACGATTGCATGGAGAGCGAGGCCATTGACGGGGGGACATTGTTATTGTTGGCTCGTCCTCGGCGCGGATACAGTACTCGACGGCCCGGGCGCTCGCCGGGTGGTTAGGTGGGATCCCGCTCGACAATGCGCGCTGCGCTGGGTTGGCGCGCGTGCTGCGGGCACTGGGGCCTCGCCAATGATATCATGTCCAACACGTAGAAAACCCTCCAATATCCGCCTCCGATATCCTAAACGCGTAGGTGTCAGTCGCATTTATAGACGCTCCTGCGGTTCGCGGGTAAGTACAGCTTTCTGGCTTAGTAGAGCGCGTATACGACTCGGGGCGTGCGGGGCATCTCTCCCCCGGGACCCACTCGCCCGGTGGTGGACCGACTTTGCTGGAATACGGAGGAGCATGGCGGGACGAGCTGGCTGTTCCCGGGCGCACGTTCTTCACGCCGAGCTCGACGCACTCACAGAGGTGAGTTCCCGTGCTGCGCGGGAGACACGATTTTATATCCCGCACCCGTCCTCGCACAGGCCAAGGCGCTCGCCCCCCGCCCTCGCCCGTGATCCCCTCTCCGACCGACACTGTTGCCAGGCGCAGACCCACCGGCGAGCCACGACTGACGGCTGATATCCTGCATGCATGTATAGGCCTCGGGAAATCATGCACGTTTCCCTGCCGGGCGCATATATCGTAACCCCGCGCCGGCCGTGTCGCGTCCCGGGACGCCATCTTTGTCCGACGGGCGGTGCCCGCGCTGGCGGAGAGACGCAAGTGCATGGTGCCAGCGGACCCGGAGCGGATGTCGGTTCTCGATGTGCGGGGGCATGGATGTTTCGGGTGGACCCTATATACGGAATGTTCACGCCCACTGCTGAGCGCTGAATACCCGAAGTACTAGTTCTGCGCGCCATGCGACACTCTGTGTCTGCTGTCGCAGCCTTTTGACTTTGGGAGCTCGTCAGCATGGCTCACTAACAGACGTGGCTTCCCGCAGACGGAGACTGGCCTGCGATATGAGCCCCCACTAGTAGTATTAATGACATTGTACGGATGCCTTGGCATCGATCTGGTGCGTTTCCCCCGATATTGATCGTGCGTATGCTGCCGCTCACCCAGGACTGTTGCTATCCTCGACGAAAAGGGAAGCCTCTTTCTCGGCTTTGGGCCGTCCGAGGGTTGCCCACAGGGTCGACGCGAAGCATTTGATGAGGAGCTGGTTCTGTAACGTGCTCGGGATCGCTGGCTGGTTCTCGGGGCCATCACGCGCGAGGCCGAAGCCCAAACGCCTTCGGTCGTCACAGTTCGACTCGAGCGCAAGGGCGCGTCGCGAGAACGGGTGATGGCCTCGCACCTGTCCCAGGGCTAGCTCCGACTCGCCGTTCGTACACGTACGTCCTCGTCGATGTAGACCCACTGCTCTCATCGCCGCGCACGGCCCAGTTAGTACTTGCTGGGGGGTGCGCAGGGGGGAGAGTACTGTCGTCGACTTGATCATTGGTCACAGTGAGTCGTGTTGGTGTTGCTGAGCGCCGCTGCATATGCGTGTGTCCTGGCTCCACAGCGATGCGAGTGGTCTGGGGAAGATGCTGCCTGGCCGCCGGGTGGCAAGTGAGACGTCTATGCGCTGCTTATTCATGATTGGGCAAGGTTAATTTGGTGATGAGGCATTCCTCTGAAGTCGGGCGGGTCCTATCGGTAATTGACCGAGTGTATGTATTAAACTCATCTTCACCCAGGAGCTCGTTATTCGCTCTGCGCAAAAGCTCTGAAACACCAACAGCATACCTAACTGCTCTTCCGCTCGTAGCAACTCGGGTGTTCCATCGCTCTGTCCCCTCCTTCGCGATTGCGCTTCCTGGCTACCCAATTGCACTAGCGAAATGTAGCGTTGACAGGACGTGGGTTGCAGTGTCCTTTCTGGAACGAGTGCGTGACTGTACACGCGATTCAAACTAGAAGAGTACTCTGATCGTGATGTTTCACGGAGGCGTATAACTAGAGCAGTATGCCATCTTCACGAGATCATGCCGCCTCATACCCCGGCGCTCGACTGCTCGCAGAGGTATTCGCATCCGAAGTGGACAGGTTCCACTGAGTGTCCCGCCTCTGGGACCGTTCGCGGTAGCGATATCACCGGAGAACATCTGTTCTCCGATTCCGGAGTCTGCAAGCACTCGAACCTTATCTTCGAATATTATATCAGCATTCGTTCGGATGTATCTGTGAGTGCTGTCCGCGCATTCATCTTGAACTTCTTGTAGGATGACGACGCTTGGGCCGGCCCTCATCGGGGCTACTGTCTCCAGCATGTGAGTAGTTCTGTTATGCGACCAGTCCTCCCGTCGTTCATTGATGATTGTGGTAGGTTGTACGGCGTAACGATCGCGCAGGCCGTCAACTATTACGTCACGTACGACGATGGTCTAGCCATGAAGTGTTTCGTGAGTTACCACGTCTACTTACATGCGGACCGATTCTCACGGATGACGAAGGTCGGGTTCATCTGGCTGGTGGGCCTTTATACTCGCGGATATCATCATCGTCTCATGGATGCTCCGAACAGATGGACACTTTGCAACAGTGTCTCCTGGGTCATCTACTGTGGTGGTACCTCATCGCAAGATGCAATGGAGATTCCGCCGTATGTGCTGATGTTGTCTGGTAAGCTCTCCTGTTTTATCTAATTGTCTTTAGCTAGACAACAGATCACCCAGGAGTCTGTATGTAAGTGACGATATCTTCATTCAAACCCCGCACTCTCATACCCAGGTATCCAAGGCGTCCGCGATACCGACCGTATGTGCATCATGACTTGGATTTGACATTCAGTACTGAAAACATAAATAGGAATTATGCTCCTTCATCGTTGAATGGTCCGTATACGGGCTAGCACGCGGCTATTTCCTTTGATAGAACTCTGCGGTTTCCAGCTTTTTCATAATCCGGATATGGAAATGTAAGGTCCTTCGACTGGCGTCATCCCAAAGGACCAGCTCATGGGAGATTGCAGTTCGTCACAGGAAATCCAGTCTGTTACTTGTGAGGCGCTACTCAGTGGAAAGCTGCGCTTATTGAACCATTACCTAGCTTGTACCAGCTGTACTGGGGCCAAGCACGAGCTATGCTGTTTACGCCCAGAGTATCCGATCTGACGATGTTTGACACGTTCGCGGTCCTAGCTCTGTCCATGGGTAAGTCGGAAATGTTACTGTTCAAGAAGCCATTCCTGACATTTATTCCACGCAAGTGTATCTTATATATTGGTAAACGTCAATTGTGTCAGCTCTCAACATATGCTAATGCACCTACCAAGCATACAAGGTCGACGTTTCTATGTCTTTGATAGCGAGCAGGAATTGGCAGTAAGTGGAAGAGACTGACTTCGACTCAAGCCTGACCCGACCTGTACTGTAGGCTCTTACTTGCCTGAGCGCTAGCTTCTACATAATCACCGACATTGCCACCACCACCACCATGTGCTTTGTCCTGCGCAAACCAAGGGAGGGAGGGCTTAAAGTCTCGAAGTAGGGTTGACACGAGAATTTCAGACCTTCAGACTGATGTGTTCTGCGCCGTTGCTGCCAGCTGGTTGGTTAGTACTATCTTAAGGTATACCGTCGCAACAGGCCTGTTATCGTGGTATGCTTCTCAGTGCTCGATCATGGGCATGGACTGACGAGCGTCTTTTCTACAGTATCGTTCAGGCTATCTATCTAATTGCCGTGAGTGATGTGATAGCCTAAGACAGATTCTTGCAGGTGTGGTGCTGAAGCAGGGATTGCATAGGTTGTCGCAAGTCGGGTGAGTGCCCACGGGAAAGCAGTCTATATTGGCATATACTTCATAATTGCAAAGAGTCAGTGATCTGTTCTGTGAGTTGCGCCCTGAACTGACCTGGTCCACGTTTCCAGCGTACATTAATTGCATGCTAGCATCGTGAGTCGTCTCGACAAAGCATAGCTATTTGTGAAATCTCATGCCATCTTCAGTCTCAATAGCCGGGCATCATTGCGAGCACGACTTGGTCGGGAATTTATTCGATCGATCAACATCATTTGAGTCACTCCATCTTGAGCTCGGGATGTACGCGCATTCAGGCGAGCACGACAGTTGCGGCATTGAAGTTCTAGCATATTATTCCTATAGTATAACCCTGGCATACTCTAATGTGCCAATAATCGATGTTTATCATTTACCTCCATCTCTCTGGATGAACGACATGAGTAACAGTGAATCTCTCTATGCTCATGCCCCTCACCTGTCGGCACAGACAGAAAGTCGTGATCTCTTACGTGTATCGCGACCGTTACTATTTTGCAGAGATTTATCATCCTAGCAAATGCGAATCATGAGAGGTCGCGAAATCATCCCGATAAGTCGTCTGGACTTTCCGAGGGACTTGCCGAGTTGAAACCTTTCACCGTCATCGCATGGATGCATGACACTGACACTTCAATCCGACACGCAAGCCCTTGTTCACTATAGACTTCGATAAATGACTCGTCGGATCTCGTCGAGACCTTGTTTCTGCTGGTCGCAAGTACTGCCTGTACGCCTCCGGGCGTGGCATCACGGTAGGTAGATAGCTGGGCGTCCTCGGCGGTCTTCGGAAACTCACCTCTAACTGGGCAACTATAGTACAGAAGAATACTACATAGTCCTTGCGAGAACCATCTGCTACATGTCATAGACGTGTCACTTGGGACAGAGGCGGGAACTTTGCGAACTTCGTACTGGACCAATCAGATAGACGCTGAATAAGCGCCCGTTGACCGACAACTCGTCCAACTTGGCCAATGCCTGGCAGGTTAGGTTCGATACAGGACACTGGACCAACGGCCGGGAGGAGCGAGGAATCAATCCCCGTCGAGGTGACGACCTTCATCTCAATTTGTGAAATAGTAAAGCAACGCAGCTGGCGCACAATTGCAGGGTATCTTCAAGTTCCCATGGACATTGAACGTGAGGGCCTCGTTACGCTCCCAATTGGCGCACTAGGCGCCGAACATGACTCTCAGCGTTATGTCTCATTACTGGTAGTCTCACTGGCATTCGTCTGCATGAGCGTGTCGTGCTGTATGTCTGGAATATCCTCTCCCTAAGATTACGGCCAAACAACTTGAAGCTCCACGGGACACCTCAATATTCACGACGCGCGGTATATCATTACCTCAAAGGTACGTTTTCGTTTCGACTCCTCGTAGCGTTGCCCTTGCCCTATTCCGCCGAAGTATCAACATTCATCAGCAGAAGTTCCTCCCAAGTGACTTCTACAGGCAAGTGATGTTTTGTAAATATCTGCTTCGGTTGTGCTCGTCCCTTGTGTGTGGTGCCGTAGGCTATGCCAGTGATGCTCTGTGTTCGGTGACACGAAGATACTTGGCCCTGTTCGGGGGGCATCCGCTCATAGACGGCTCTAAAGCTTGAAACACCAATAAAAAACGGATGCAGCGAACCCACAGCAGTGGTATTTGCTGGGCGATTACTATCACCAGGTTATTCATACCGTTCACTCTCCAGGGACAAGGTTTACCTGGTACGTTATTCCATTTTCTGTTCAGTCGCAACAGTAGTTCTGCGGACATTTGCAGTGCACTCTCCACACCCCCCACAGTTTTCCGGGAGAACGACGCTTGCGTACACATGACCCATCTTTTCGGTAGCATTCCCCATGGCATGCCAAGAACCTGCGGATCTGGGATCCCCAGTAAGTTATAAGAACGTCGCTACTCCAGTCCAGTCACTAACAAATACGACGTTCATACGTACCACATAGCGACTCACGCGATAACATGGGTATTCGCGCCTGATTCGATTCAAGCTCCTTCAGTATATAGCTTGCCGAGGCTCAGAATGCACCGCGGAGCTGAAAGTGAGGCAAGCTTAGGATTAGATGAGTCACCTGTACAATTGGTTCTCTCTCCATATGGAATGCAAAGGACTCAAGATTGCGTCACCGTATATCGAACCATGCTACAGCAAGATTTATAAAGTAAGAGACGAGCCGTATTTGGGTGAGTGGAACGGTCAAAAGTTCCTGCGTAACTTAATTCAGTAGAAGAACTGCTCGGAACACTCAATGAATATCCCGCTGCATCGCTTCCGGGAAAGATAGATGCCTGGTATGTGAACTGCCCAACTGCTGACCCATAGCCCCGCTCCCGCGACCTTCGCTTCCAGGCTAACAAACTCCAGGGTCTAGTCACAGGTCGGCTGCATACCCGAAGGTACATTATTACCAGCAAGCATTGAGTAAAACATGAAGCAGCCGGAATCGTGCAAGTCAGTTAGTCGACGTTCCCATACATTTCATCCCGTAAAGTGCCAGAGGTGTTCATCCATGGCCCGGGAACACTGAGGACGCCAGGTGACGCATTATGTGATTTCACTGACCACCAATCAGGTTTAAATACCATGCCTCCACTAGAGTTCGTTCAGTTCAACCTGCAAGTACGATGTCTGAGCCTCTCCCCAGCGGCGAGTACTTCATCGAAGCTCCCCGATTCAATGATGGCAGCTTTTCAAGTCGTCCCGTTAACCACAGAGGTGTTTTTGTGATGTTATTCCTTGAAGGCACACCTCCGGTCAAGGTGAATTAATCTTGCCAGGTATATCTAGAGTGGATATTGATCTTGTTCGTTTCTCGCACTTCAGTGGACTTTCAATGAACTTGACAACGGGAATTATACCATCGGGATTGAGGGTCGATTCGTTACCTCCGGTCCAAACCCGGTCATTCTGACGGATCAACATTACGAATGGAAGTTGGTGAAGGAAGACTTTCTCCCCTCTCCCGTGGGATCCCACAACTATATGTCTGTGATAGGTCCAGTTTTACTTCAAAGCTGTAATACTCACTTGATACCCTGTCAGTACACAGACTGCCAGTGGTGACGGTATCGTGTACATCGAAGAAGGGTATCCTGACAAGCAGACCGTGGTACATCTAACGACCATCCATGTTCCTGCATTATATCGTCTTACGAAATCGTTCTGCAGCTCAGTGTGGTACCCAACTGTCCCGGGGCTGGTTCTTCGGTTTGGATTCATACTTAAGTATTGTACCTGGATCTCTGTTACCGGCGTGATTGCAGTAACGTATAGCGAGGATGTGCTATCCCAATACGATCAGACCTTCAAGCCACACCGCGCCTCCCATTCAAGGAGATCATGGTTGGTGGTATATATTAAGGGAATCTGTTTTTCTGTTACTCCAGTTCCCTGTACGGACCAACGGGCACAGGCGGAACGGGTGAAATGAGTGCCATCACTCCGGCAAAGCGTTGCCAGCAGTGCTTGGTTATTCCGAATCGAAGCATTGCCCGAACTGGAATCGGAGAAGGACCAAATGCACTTACTCTCATAGACCCACAAGTAGCAACTGAGTGCTTCGACTCCTGTCCATAATAGTTTGGAATGCTAGTCTCGCGACTGAGTCGGCGAGTCCAAGTTATGCGATTGCGTGATCCTCCTGTCTGTGCCTAGGCGGCCGAGTCGGTTTTGCCCCTGCCTGTTCGAGCATCTAACAACAATGGCTCGACATCACCTGAAGAACTGAAGATGTAAAGGGTCGTATAACATGCCTGCCCTTCTCAGCAATGTATGCCGCACATTTGTACATGATAGGTGTACTGGAAGAGGGCAGAGCAGGTTTATTGCCCCCAGCAGTCAGCCTCTAAGCTACGGAGTTTATTCTCCCACAACAATTGACAACAACTAGCTAATCCTATCATCAGGAAAACCCTCCCAAGCTAATTAGACATAATTTAGACAAAATTATGTATGATGGCAAAAAGTCCTTCTAAAGCATATAATTGTTGCATAATCTAGAATGACTGACATCTAATCTACGTGACCCATTCAAGAAAACACTATATACATTTATTAGCAACTCCCGTAATAGATGACCTTCATCGACTTGTTCATGCGGATCCATCTGGTGAACTGGTCAAAGCTATGGTGCAAGGATGCAAAGTGGTTCACGGAATAGTTACGTACCTTCCATAGCATCTGCCCCATCACCGAGTACTGCGCAGGGGATTATTTGGCTGGAGCTAGTGTTGTACACAATGGCAGGCATTCGGGAGCTCGAGTCAGCATTCAAGTTCATCTTGAAAGTGAATGGCAAGGGTTCCCGTAACCCGAGCATGTCATGGGTAAGGGTACCAGCGGGTACAGGTACGGGTCGCGTTTCGCCGCACCTGTGACCGGACTGGTATCGAGAACAGGTCCGAGTCGTTTAACGCGCTCTCAAAACCGAGACCCGCGGGTACCCGCATACCCATACCCGGCCCGTCAACGCGGATTTGCGCGCAGGTTCGATACGGGTACGCATCGCAGCACCTGCGGATTTCCTCGTGCCATTCACTATCAAGAACGGACTTAGCGCTTTCTGCTCACCGCCCGGTCATCCGGTTATGAGCAGCCGGTCACATGACATTGTTGATACCGCGTTTTGAACTCCGATTCAATCCGCCGTGTTCAACATTCGCGTCGTCTCTCATTTTCATTCCTCGCTTCACCGTTGTCACCTCGATCTCATGGAATCATTCCCTTGCCTCTCGCCAGGAGCTTTCCAGTTCCATACTCACGCGCCGGCTCGCGTGCGGGCTCGTCTGTACTCCGGGGCTTGACTTATGCAGGGCGTCGCGGGCGACCTCTCTGGGTACGTTCGAGTCACTCCATTCATGGTCGTTCGCCCGTGAAGTCTCATGACGACAGGTTCTTATGACGGCTGCGGCGCGTTCTCCGGATCCTCGTCACTCCATTGACCGGGTCCTGTTCAACACTGCGGATATGACATGTGCTGAATGAAGTGCCGGTCTACCATCAGCTCATGTGTGCACCGAGCTTTGTACGCATGCTGTGTAAGGTGAATACAGTCAGTTTGGACGAATTCTGCACGACATCCATTGATTTATAGGTTGGCCGTGATGTGGGATATAAAACACTACTTCCTGCTTGCATGGGTGTATGCGAAACTCCAGACCTGGTTGGATAGGTATGTACTCAATATTGTGGAGCTATTTCTATTTCTGTTGTCTCTGATGGTGTGCCTTGCCGTTCCCACTGTGAGTCTGCACCTTCACTGTCCCCGGCGCTTGTCCCGATGAGTCGTATGCATGCCTGCACCTTGTGCGCGGTTTTGCCCTTGGCCGAATATCTACCCCGTGTCTGCCTGGAGTAAGTTGTCGCTCCTTCCTGGTTATGGTGGTGGCTGATGATGCTGTATAGCAGGCCATATTTTCTCATGCCTGGATCTGCATCCAGGTGGTGTCATATACAGGTGTGTTCTGATGACTGAATGATCTGCTGTACCTATGCATTGTTGGTGCTTCTCTTATGCTGATCTGCCATTGGAAGCTTTCCTAGCCGGCTTTGGGGGAAGGGAGGGGGAGGGCAGAAGTGATAGGCTGATGTGGGCAGAGAAATTGTATTTACATGCCTGTCTCTAGCTACATTGTGAATATATCTCCATGCTCTTTGTGCTATCCTGGAAATGGTGTGATGTGCTTGCAACATAACTGCCATCTAACAAGAGATGATGTTGTCTGATTGGCAATAATTATGTCTAATTAGCTAGGGGACAAACCTAACTTGTATAATTAGATAGAACTGCATAATGCAGCTAATCCTGCATAATTATGCGGGATTAGACATGATTAGACATAATTAGCTTAGGAGGGTTTTCCTGATGATGTCACGGTTTAAGCCGACGTGTTGAGCTGCTCCAGCCTCATTGGCCATGTCGCCAGAATTCACAAGAAAGGAACCTCGCTCTTTAGTGGTTCTTGTCCACCGCGCATCCCGCCCAAGCGTCTTGGAAATCGCAAGCGTCAGTGGACTGTGGCGCGGTCTTCAGTAGAACACTGCTTACCACCACCCTACTTGAGGCTTGCGAGTGGCACCAAGGAAAGGTATATAAGGAACCCCTTGGTCACCTATCCGTCCCTCAGACCCAATTTTCATCTCACTGGATACCACTCACCCTGCATCCGTCATTGCGAAAACCAGAAGTACACCCAAACAATACACGAAGCATTGGAGCGTTGTCGTGCCGTG